TGCACTAGTAGACTCATCCTGTTACTGACGTACATGGATGGTCTACAAATGTATCACCGTGATGTAAACAATATTTTTTCAGTGCTTGACTTGTAAATATGCTGAGTGGGAGGGAGGGAACTATCAGGGGAAAAGCGCCAAGCCATTACAACTAGATCGTTGTTTGACGAAAGTGATTACAAATAACACCCAATTTATTGGAAATAACCACAAAATGTTCAAGGGGTTGGGGGCCGGGAACTGACGCTTGACCCGGCAGGCATATCTAGGAGAGTTCACAACACCCCCCCCCCCGCCTGCCCGCGACACAAACACTCCCTCTAAGACACTGCTACCAATAAGTTCATTACGTGTGCTGGAAGGAGTGTTTGGGCTGGCAGGAGCCTCGTCCCCCTGAAGTCAACATGGAGTAGCGCCTCATTTGTTTACCTGCCTAACTCTTGGGAACCGGAGGAGGAGCCACCATACGCCACCGCTAATGTGTTCACAGTCTTTCCCACTCTCAGCATTCGATTGATCCAGAAGTGAATTTCCTAACGGAGAGAAGTAAACCGGTAGGTGAGTCACGGGGGCTCGCTCGTTTATTTAATCAGTCCGCACAGAAACTTACAATTCTTGGAAAACTATAGTCGCTCTTTTTTTTTTTTTTTTGAGATATATACAAGAGTTGTTACATTCTTGTACAGCCACTAGTACGCGTAGCGTTTCGGGCAAGTCCTTAATCCTATGGTCCCTGGAATACGATCCCCTGCCGCGAAGAATCGTTTTTTCATCCAAGTACACATTTTACTGTTGCGTTAAACAGAGGCTACAGTTAAGAAATTGCGCCCAGTAAATCCTCCCCGGCCAGGATACGAACCCATGACATAGCGCTCGCGGAACGCCAGGCGAGTGTCTTACCACTACACCACGGAGACTGTAGACTCTTCTAAAGTATTGAAACTAATTATACATTGTGGTCCAGCAATGTTCCAGTGGCTCACTATGTTGTTGCAGGTACTGCAGCATCTTCTTCTTGAGGTTATCTTGAGATGATTTCGGGGCTTTTTTAGTGTCCCCGCGGCCCGGTCCTCGACCAGGCCTCCACCCCCAGGAAGCAGCCCGTGACAGCTGACTAACACCCAGGTACCTAATTTACTGCTAGGTAACAGGGGCATAGGGTGAAAGAAACTCTGCCCACTGTTTCTCGCCGGCGCCTGGGATCGAACCAAGGACCACAGAATCACAAGTCCCGCGTGCTGTCCGACCGGGTCGACCGGCTCCCAGCATATTTACATATGCTGCATACATTACATATACATTACATATATTAACATAAGGAGCTTCACTTTTTGTGTGATTCACACTGACTTATAACTGTGATGATTTGAAGAATCACCGCAGAATTACCGTCATATCATTTATACCACTAGACGGACAACATTGTAGAGGGTTGAAAAAAAATGTATACCAAGTCTGTTTTGTCCTCCCCCCCCCCCCTTCCATCTTAAAAAAAATCACGAGACTTGTGTCTATTCTTCACAAAAAAAATCATTGTTTTTCTTCTTCATAAGTTTCTTTTTTAAAATACTTCGAATTCTTTGAAAAAAAAGAGCTGTATTTGTTCACACCATTATCCTAGCTGCTCAAGTTTAGGATAATCAAAATTGTTTAATTGAGTTTTTTCAATGTCCAAGATGCGTTATTTTTTTTTTTGTATCTGAATTGTTGAGGTGCTGGAAGAAGAAAGTCAAAAATCAAAATAAAATCAAAATCAAATATTTATTCTGGTAAAGTACATACATACATACAAGGTGAGATACAAACATTGGTGGATTTATAGAGCTTGTACATACAATGCCTAAAGTCACTATTACGCAAAGCGTTTCGGGCAGGAACGTAGTCATTCTTGTGCGCATGGCTTCCCTAACAATTATATATAGAACTTTGTTTTTCCGCAGAAGCAAAGGTCTCCAAGATGTTTAGGGTGAAGCAGTACTAATGTTCTATTCAACACATTTTCAGAAGTAATGTGTTGTCTCCAGTACTCAGTGCTCTTCTCTGGTCGCCTGTTATAACACCACTTCAGATAGGCAATACCGACAATGGCCTTTAACGGGAGCATCTACATGTTCACACGTATTTACACACCAACTGCTTCCTGCCCTTTCAGGGTAATTGGCGCAGTCTGCACCAAGTTATCGCAAGATATTTAGTTATCCTCGTGATTTTAAAAAAAGTAGATTTGTACAGATGGCAGTACAAAAGTGTAGTTTAGTTTCGATACAATGTAGTTACTTTCAGCTTGTGTTGTCTCTGAGACATAACAATAATTAATGATAAATCCGTTTCGCAGAGTAACGTCAACATAACGAGAGCAAAAACATGGCGGACAGGAAAGAGAAGCAGCGGGTAGGTGTGGGCGACACATGAGCCGACCTGCTGCCGCCTCCTGCCCAGAAGGTGCTGCAAATTGGGTCCAGTGAGGATACCAGTGTGAGCTCTCCTCTCACTCGGCGGGGATCCTGACCCATCCTTACCCTCAAGAGTGTAGCTCAAGTGGCCCTCTTGCTGTTGGGCTGTCCTTACATTTAAAAGTTACGGTTGAAGATTAAGTCTTCTCGCTCATATTTACCTGGTTAAGTAATAATTGTAAATAAGAAGCAATAAAATGCTTATCTTAACATACTAAGAAGGTTAGGTGAGGTCGGTGAAGCTATGAAGACTTTCTATGAAGCTTTTCAAGGTAAAGTAAAATATTCACAATCAATTAGTATGTCACATATGCACTTATTAAATAAGTCAATATTGACTGTATGCAAGTGCGAGAACGGGTTGCTTTCTCCAGTGACCTCGACGAGGACAGGAAGCCAACGGCTTGTTAAATGTCCCCCTCCCCCATTTGTCCTGATGATTTTATTGGGGTGGATTTTGAAATTCAAAAGTGTTTTGGCATTCACGGCTTCGGCGGGTACAAGGTTCCAAGAGTATATAACCATATGGGTGAATAGCATCTTCTTTTCTGCCTTATTGAGCTCCTTGCTCCTTGTTCGTGTTAGATCTGACCTTTTGAAGAAGTGGTCTGGATCAATATCTTCCATGTTGTTCAGTATTTTAAGTCTGTGATGAACAGACCACACACTAGAAGGTGAAGGGACGACGACGTTTCGGTCCGTCCTGGGCCATTCTCAAGTCGATTTTAAGTCTGTATTTGTATTAGTCCCGATGAGATCTGCCGTGTGATGTCTGGTTTTGTAGTGTTGTTAGCCCTCAACCGTTCCTGATATGAGGGTCGACTTAGTTCAGGAAAGATTTTTGTTGCCCAGTGTTATACTTTCTCCAGCACTAATTGGTATATACAAAGACATACAATTTATTTAAGTACATTTAATGCAACGGAATTAAAATCAAGTCACTGAAACAGTTGTATTTTCTTTGCTTAGAAGAAAACTCTGCATTTGGAATGGGATCATTTATTTATTAATTTATTTATTATTATAATTAGTATTAATAATATTTACAATTATTAATTACAATTAATTATAGCTTAGTTACTTGCATGCAGCTAACATGCGTGTTGTGGGGTCGGTGGCTAAGGCGAGGAGAAGGTCGCCACCTCGGTTCTATCCCGCCCGGGATTAGAACCCGGGATTCTTGATTGTGAGTCGAGAATGAACCCGACTGTACTACTGGGACCCCCAACCTTGAATATGTAGGTCATACTCATGCCTAAATATACAACTATCACCTTTATCTGCCAAACAAGCAGAAAGAGCTCAGCAGAAAACTACCGACCGATCAGCCTAACCTCACATACCTGTAAGCCCTTGAAGAGAATCCTAATAGAGGGAATCATTCACTATTACACACTCTGGTAAAAGCTAAGGGGATTTCCTTGTATTAAAGGAAGAGGAACTACGAGGAAAAAGCGCATGTTGTTTAAGATTCAGCTATTGGGAACAAAAAGACTTACCTGGCACAGGAGAGGGGCTGTAACTTTTGGAGAAAGCGCAAAGCCATTACGATTATATAGCACTTTGAAGGGATGAGGATAAGGATTTGGGATGGGACGGAGGGGAGGGAGGAATTGTACCCAACCACTTGGACGGTCGGGGATTGAACCCCGACCTGCATGAAGGGAGACCGTCCCTCTACCGTCCACCCCAAGTGGCTGGAAGTTTAGTTCATTTATTATGCACCCCATACCCAACTTGTGGGCGGTAGTGTAAAGGGTTACGGAGGCTAAGAGACTAATGAGCTAAGAGACTGAACCCCGCAATCTATTTAGCTAAGCAAGTTACAAAATTCAATGCACATTGTCACATCAATAATGGGCTCGAGACCGACCCCAAGTACAGTTTCTAAATTAGGCAACTGACATATGTGGAGAGTTGGTGTCACAAATGATGAGCTTATCCTGCACACCGCCCCCCCCCCTCCATCCAATGGGTGAGTGGTTAAGACACTCTCCAGGCGTTTTCCGAGCGCTTTGTCCTGGGTTCGTATCCTGGCCTGGGAGGATTTACTGGGCGCAAATCCTTAACTGTAGCCTCTGTTTAAGTAAAATGGGTACCTGGTAAGGCACTACGGGCTCACCATAGCCCGTGCTACTTGGAACTTTGTTCCAGGTAGCAAATCTTTAACAACAAGAGGGTACCTGGTTGTTAAACGATTTTTCGCGGGGTCGTATTCCAGGGAACATAGGATTAAGGATTTGTTCCGAAACGCTATGCGTAATAGTGGCTGTACAAGAACGTAAGAACTCTTGTATATAAAAAATATTATTATTATTATTATTATTATTATTAATAGTAGTAAAATTAAAGTATTAACAAGTTGTTCAAAACGCTGTGCATATTAGTGACTTTAGGCATTGTATGTTGTAGTTCTATCTAGAAAAAATCAAACATTATGATTGTAACTCATTTTATGTATAAACTTTTACCTGAATAAACATTTTAATTTTATTTAAAGTTAACAATAATGTTAAAGTTAGCGTTAACTAAGGCTGTGATTAACAGAAAACTGAAGGTAGAGGAAGTGGTGGAAGCGCTGGCGAGGCGGCCCTGAGGACCACCTTTACCCCCAAACAAAATAAACCATTCAACCACCCAGCACATCCAGGTAGGCAACATGGCAACATAAGGCTCTACCATAGGCCTATTGAATCCTCTAATTCCTCTAATAATTAAGTTAGGGAGTGTCAATGCCTCACACACTGACCCTCATGGGAGAGGACCCACTGGGACCTCGAATGGGACCACTGGCCTCTTTTTGAACTGGTACGTGGTATACTTGGTATACTATGTGGTATACTGCCGCTGGGTGAGGGAACCTGTTGAGCTTGTTGCTCTCACAAGCTGAGAATAGGGGGGCTGTGGTCACCCATCCCATTACTAGCCAGGTTAAACTGAGCTGACATGTTGGTAGTACACATATATAGACACATGTGTTTGTTGTTAAGCCGGGTGTGTATGCTATTATACTATGTTATATTATATTTTACTACCCAATAAGTGTGGAAAACAAATTACTTGAATTTATATATTTATTATTCATATATTTATTATTTGTTGGGTATCTGACATTATGTTCGTTAGATAGTTAAAATACCGATAAATATTACTTTTGTAGACATGCTTGTAATGTCAATAATAGTAAAGCATCTATTACTGTTTTCTAGTTTTAAATCAAATTTAAATACTTCTGGGGATTATAAGGATGCGGTCTGGATCTTCGTGCTTGTCTCAAATGTCTCCTATCCATTTGGCCTTTTTGGCCTTTTCCTTTTTAATTTCTTGATGTTTGGTTTCTGTTTTATTTACTCTTAAAAGTTGTTTATGGTGGTGGCTTCCATCTTCTTACTTCAGTGCATTAAACTTATTTATTATTTCTACGTGGTATAAGTACAGTACAGTACTGTACTTTTTACACAAAGGTTATGCATTTATATTTCCAGCTTCCATCATAGATCTCTTGTCCAATTTCCCTCACTTAAAATGGATGTCCTTGTTCACTTTGTCCATTTTCCTCAATACTGTATCTTAATCTTGTATACAGTACTGTATAGTGATCATATACCATCTGCAATCACTTCACTCTAAGAGTGCACTTGTCAGATTAACTTAAAATAAAGGTAAGGTAATTATGAGGAGAAATAAACTAACCTTAGGCCAAACAATAAGAACCAAACCTTAATAAATTGTACCTCTATTTAAAGACAGACTCGAGGCTCTAAGAACTGTAGTGGGTACACCTCCCAATACATTGTTAATATTATAATAGCAAAACTAATGTAGTTAGCATATATAAGGTCTTCGGTAGACTATCATGCACCGGCTTTACTCCGGCAAAATGGCAAAATTATTGATAGACTGGAAAAAATGGAAAATGAAGTCCTTGGAATTATACTTGGCTATCTAATAACGACTAAAGTTCTCAATATGTGGAAAAAACTAAACATGTCTAGCATTCAAGATAGAATATTTGAAATCAATCTTATGATGGGACTAAAGCTTCTGTGTGATAACAAAAACTACATTGCATCAGTTGATCTGTTAGAACTGTAACGGGTTGTGGTATCGCAGCTATACTGAACCAAGATGGTATGGCTCTCCATCACACAAGTAAACAAAAAATGCTTCTATTGGCCCTTGCAGTGTTTAAGTCGCAGGTGGAAACAAATGAAAATCATCAAATAAATAATTAAAACAATTTACTGAAATATTAATGAACAAAAATGGCTCGTGAGATCACTTGGTTGTTAATATAGAACAAATAACAAAAGTATACGAAAGTTTAAATCTAATACAATACAAGAGTATACTGGTGGTGCTGAAGACAACTACTATACCACCACAGCATCCAGCACACGACGCTGGCTGAGGGGAGACGGCGTTGCAGGTGATCCAAGAGCACTAAGAGAGAGACTGGCTCTCTAGGGAGGCAGTGCCCTTTATATAGTCTGGCAGTGATGACTCATCCGGTGTCAATGCAAGGTGGTCAACTAGCAAACTGCTAGTTTGTGGCTGGCAGTGCTTTTGTGTTGAGACGCCCCACTGCTAGTTGAAGGCGGCTGACTGCTCGTTTGTGAAGGCAAACTACAGGTTAGCAGAGGTGCTCGGCTTGCCTCTGAGTCGTACCAGGTCGTGCCAGGCCCTGGGGGGTATGGAGAGGTGGCAGGACTGATTACTCATCTGGCCTGGTGTAGAGGTGGACTTCCAGTGCAGAGGCATTAAAAGCGAGGGGAAAGGCAGTTCCACTGCTATGCAGGAGATTCACGTGACAGAACACATACACAATGGAGTTAGTGATTGTAGATGGATTCAAAGAACAGCCACTCATATTAAAATGATGGAACTGCATGATGTATATAAAGATGAAAGAGCACAGCATTTCCTTCCACCCTTGGCAGATAGTACCTGTTGACATCCTGATGCCTACATACTCCACTAAGAGACTACTGTTATCACAAACAACCTTCATGCTCAGCCTGCTGCTAAATGAACTACCCTAGAACACATACACAATCTACAAACTAAAAACACTATTATACAGACCATATACACTGACGGATCACTCAGTACAATTACTGTACAGGGAGAGCAGGAAATGCTGTTATTGTTCATCAGCCCTATAGAAACATAATTGAAAAAGGTATAAGAGTTAGTAACTGGGCATCTACCTTTCAAGTTGAACTGGTAGCAATACTAGTAGTACTCAAAAAGTAATTTTCCTGCCTTTGCATGATTTTCAAGCAGATTAATACAGTACAGTGCAGTACTACACAGTATTTAGTAATAGTGAATAAATCTAATATTAATTGTTTATTTTAAATTTATTTTAATAAACCAGTTCATTTTTATTTGACACAAATTTAAATATTATTCTCTCTACTACTCCATATTTTGATGTAAAACTTACTCTGAATACAATATTACAGTTTTTTAATTTTCAAGAATGGCATTGGATACTGTAAAGCAGTGCTGTCGCCAGCTAGATTCTGACCGCATTACGGAGAGGAAGGTGAGAGAGCACTAGAGAACTGGCTTGTGGTCAATAGTTCTAGAAAGGAAGGTGAGAGTAAGCACTAGACAACTAGCTTCTAGTTTGAAGTTCTAGAAAGGAAGGTGAGAGTAAGGAGAAAATAACTTAAGGCATAGATGAGAGTAAGCAGGCGATAGCTTAAATGCAGTTGTATATTCTGAAGACGAAAGCGAGTACTGTAAACAGAAGATAGGTGGGTTGTAGTAGACTGATAAGTGTAAAGTAAGCATAAGACAGGTGGTACAGTAACTACAAAAAGACTTGCGGTTAAGCAATTCATAATGGCTACAGTACAGCATTTAGTTATCCCTAGAGGGCATACATTATTTTATTTTAAGAGTGCTTATATCTAAATACAATGTTTAAAATGAATGTGAATGGTGAAACTAGAAGTGGTCGAACAGTTTATATAACTAGGATGTGTGATTGATTAAATGTAATTTGTGGAATTGATGTTGAGAGTAGGGCATATCAGGAAAGGATGGTCACTTCTGCAGTGAATATAAATAAAAATTAGATGATCTTTGTACAATACAGCATGACATTATTTTTATCATTATTGTAACTCATGTTAATTTCCCAGAAAGGAAGTGATCAACTGAAACACTTGTTGAATAATCCCAGTATTGTTGGTTATTTGGACACTAGACCAAATGATTGCTTCAATTGGAACAGTGTCTTCTGGAGTGCTAAGACCTTCTTTATCAAGGTTGGTAATATGACTTGACATTATTTTGTAGCTAGGTTCCATTACATGGTGTGGACAAGATTTTTAGAGGTCATAAATACTGCAAATCCTGAAATAAGAAATGAGTACCTAGTATATTAGGAAGGGTACTAGTGGGTATACTTGGTATTAACAGAATCATTGTCATCAAATTTTAAAGTCAAAGAAACTGCATAAATACTAAAAGACGTGCAGTATTTATTTTTATAATTATTTTAATAAGTAGTTTATTTCATTTAGATTTGCAATACTGTACTTATTGCAGGAATCCAAAAGAGTTGAAGAAGATGAAAGAAAGAAATCGGAAGTCTCACAAACAGTGTTGCAGAATAGGGCTAATCTGAAACGCTGTGCTGCAGCTTTGCCTAAGCTGGTGATGAAAAAATCCTCTCTGAGTGAGTAATGTCAATAACAATATCTTAACATAAGCCCAAGCAATGAAATAATTTCTCATTTGTAGTGAAGAGAATTTTGGAATCTCATTATTGTACTCTGTTTTGTTCTTTTTATGTACAGGTATTGTATTAATTTTTTTTAGGAAATCGGTAGGAGCTATTAGGAGAATTTGAACCAGTACATTTTTATACTCCTAAGCACACCCTAGACCACTACTGAACGACATGGTAAAAGCAATACAACCTGGGATTCAACTGAATCCTCTAGGGGGGTCCTGAGGCTTCTACTGAAGCCCAATCAGGGTTTCACACATTGCCCCCATGCACTCTGGCTGTAGTCCTCTGGCTGAAGGGATCTGGCGTGAGCCGGCATGGAGCCACCACTGGTGCAGATCTTGGTGGTAGTAGCAAGATAGTTGTTGGCTGCCTCCAACACTTCTCTTCAAATACACAATGAAATCACATTAACGTGATGTATCGAGGAGAAAATCAATAGGAGCCATGAGGAGGATTCAAACCCTAATCTTACCTAATCTATTGTAGTCATTCATGTTTAGATTTGCTTTAACTTCTTCAAAAGCTATTTTCAAGATTTTATCTTTCTTTTCCATGGCTCTGCTTTTAGCTTCCCATCTATCCTTTAGTAATTATTACCCAAGTGTAATTACCTAAATGTAGTTACAGGATGAGAACTACGCTCATGGTGTTCCGTTTTCCCAGTACTCTTTGTCATATAACGCTTTGAAACTACTGACAGTTTTGGCCTCCAACACCTTGTTAGTTTGTTCCAACCGTCTACCACTCTGTTTGCAAAAGAAAATGTTCTAATATTTTTTGCTTGGGAGTACCAAGTGAGCGGGTTTGAACCCTCATCATGGCTCCTATTGATTTTCTCCTTGATACATCACGTTAATATGATTTCATCGTGTATTTGAAGAGAAGTGTTTGAGGAAGAGCTCCTGGACCACAGCCAGAGTGCATGGGGGCAATGTGTGAAATCTTGGAAGAAGGCTTCAGTAGAAGTCTTCACTGGCACAATAGTTTGGCTCCTGTTTGACTGTCTTACCCATAAAGCACTTACTTCCCTTTTGCACCAAAAAACAAAGTGTAGGTAGCATGAAGAATGCCTCAGCATCATATTAATGGTAGAAAATAGGAGGAAAAACAGACAGGGGCTAAAAATAACAAGTTGGGGAATTAGAGAAAGACAAAAACTAGTAGGACAGTATTATGAATGAATGTACAGAAGACGTTGCAAACCATCAAGTGGTGAGGCAGTATTAATACTGTACAGTATAGCCAAAAGAAAGGACCATAAATAAAGGAACAACAACCCCTATTCTTCCTCAAAAGTAATATTTCCGTGTTTGGCTGAGGCTCACGGAACTTTATAAGGCAGGCTTAAGATGCACTGAATAAATATGGCTATGTTTGATAATTCATATAACTTATTTCTTTGGGGGGTACCTTGTTATGAATCCTAGGATCAACATCCCCACAGCCTGGTACGGTATGTACCGTACTAGTATTGTGAAAAATGTATTAAATCAATACGTATAATTAATTTATCAAGTATTTTTTCCTGACAGGAACCCCACGTGTTTCTGCACACATTGTTGTAGATCTGGTGCTGACAGTTCTTGACAGAAGCAATGCCTATTTACTTGAAAACTTTGCTGGAGACTTCATTCAGATTACATTTAAGTATCTTTTACGATTTCCTCAGTATTACTTGGAAGTATCACCAGCAAAATGGAGAGGTAAGATTACAAATGTGGATTATAAATCTAATTTTAACTTTTTAATATATATTTTAATAATATTTAATATTAAATATTATAATACAGTATTATTATTATAATATTATTAATATTAATAATAATATTTTAAATATTAAATATTTAATAAATATAATATTTAATCTTGCACCTATATTAATTTGCCTGTTTTGCCATTTTTTCTTCTGCTACTTTACTAACTCTCTTGGAAATGTACTCTTATTCAGCTTATTTCTTTACAAAAGTGATCATTTTAACCCCTCTAATGCCATTTTGATGTCTTACCTGAAAAGTGCTTGAATCTTCAGTACCCTTAAATAACTTGTTAACACTTGGAGCACTCTTAATACTCTCTTTCTTCCTTACCCCTCTCACACAAAATGTCAGTGTTGTAGGTCCTATATTACTGCTGATGTGTGTTTGATGCAGGCTTCCCTCTTGTTTTCAATACAATATATGGATGTTTTGGTCTGGTCTTCCAGACCAAAACGATATTCATCAGTGCTTCACAGGTTCCTTCAGTCTCCCTTTCCCTTTGTTCAGTAAAACAGGATTTGCTGTGTATACTGTTGGGTGATGAGAACTGTGTTCGTATATCCTGAGGAAGTGCTTTGCTTTGTTTATGGTCCCTTCTGGTGGGGTCAGTAGGCTTTGACCACTTTTGGGAGAATATGGCAAAGTTGTTTGCAGCTCTTTACTACATTATTTTGTGGTTGGATTTAGTTATCATGCAGGGAAATGTCTGCAGGCTTTTTGAGCAAGCTTGGGCCAGGGATGCCTGGGTTTTGCATATAGTGTCTGGGGATCTCTCACAGATATGGTCCCTTTGTTTACCCCTAGTTCTTCTCTTGGCAATGGGCAACCATATACTCCTGGGCAGTTTCATTGAATCATAAAGTGCTACTGTATGTGGGGTGATTGGGAGTGGAGAAATGGGGGTGCGTACTTTCAGAGTAGATAAAATACTCAAAGATCAGGCCCCAAATATTCATAATAAAATAACTTGTATGAGTAAAAGATATGGTAGGAAATGCAGAATAAACTAAGTGACGAGTAGGGGGTACCATTAACACAAAGAACACTGTATGAATATTAGAGCCCCACAGTTTTTTAGACTCCTTTCACCAGATAAAAGTAGCAAATAAAAATTTGAAATTTTCAAGAGGAAATTGTAAGAGTTCCTCCAGGAAATAGTGGGTCATTATAGATAACTGGGCCAGTGGGCCTTTTCAAGCAAAAGCTTCACCAATGAAGGTATGATCAGACAAGCCTGGCCCTGTGTGGACCTGAAGAGTAGAACTCTTCAAACCAGCTGCAGGCAAGCTTCATTAATCTAAGCAGGCCAGCTATTTGCTATTTACTGTATTGTCCTGCCATGGCAGTCACTTATGACGTCAAGGGAGGGTTCAAATGGGCCTCGAGTTTCAATGCATCTTTGTTGGTCTTTCTGCACTGGATTTAAATGCTCTCCAGGAACTTGAGACCATTATGATCATCCTGGGAAAGCTTGGAATAGTTTCCTGTGGCGCCAGAGCAGTGACTGCAGTGTATCATCCTGTCTTATGGACACAGTGAATCTTGCTTTAGGGAGCAGCAGAATGATTCACCCAGAAGGGCACCTTTCGTGTAACTCAAAACTAGGTACAAATAAATGTAAACATTTAATAATATACAGAGAATGAATCAGATTTCTTAACACTTTAGCATACCCCGCGCACCACCCCTCAACTGTGCGATTTGGGCCCCAGGGTGTCACGGGAGCGCTCGTAAATTCTGAAAAGTGTATACTCTCTTCAACTTTGTCACCGGAATTCTCGTCCTACGAGATTAAATTTGGTATCATTGTGTTCGCAATAGAATTCTCTACAGCACTAAATGCATATAAACTCCAAAAGCCCGGCTAATTACCCGCAGCAAACAGAGAAAGTGCGAACGAGTTACCCAGGAGCAAGCAAACGCGATAAAATGTTTTCACTATTTTCACTCTGGTCACCTCAATTTTCGTCCTAGGTCTTTCATTTTGGTCTCAATGGGTTTGCAATAGAATTCTCTAGAGGAACATTTGCATATAAAATAAAAAACCTGGTCACGCTCTAACCGCCGACGAGTTGAAGACGGGCCACGCGTTAGCCGTGAGTGAGCGCTCGGATGCCTTCCAGCTACACTCCCAATTCCCGCCCTTTTCAAGCCTTTCTTTCGCAAATTTCTTCCTGGAAGGGCCTTGTTCATGATCACTATCCATCGTGGAGTAAGCATAGATAGTTTCTAAAGCCGCAGTAAGAAATATAGCCACGGAAAATAGCCGAAATGTTCACATGTTTGAGATGCGAGGGGAGGCGACATTGGTCACAACAGTGGAGCAAAAACAATGGGTCGACGGCGTGTGCCGAGCCGCCTGCAGGCCACGAGGCGCAACAAGGAAAATGGGAAGACATCGGCGCGCATTTTAAAACCAGTCCCCCCAAAAATCCGATAAAAACCTGATTTTTGGGGATTATTTAAAGTGGATGACGCAATGCTGCGTCATCCTCGGCATCACCGACAGTAAACGGATGACGCAATGCTGCGTCATGCCCGGGCGAAAGTGTTAAGATTATATATGAAGCACCATGAATTTATGGTGTCCAATGATTCATATTTCTAATCATAGTTTTCATCTTCTGCAGATCTAATGAAAATCTTCATATGGGTGTATGAAAATGATCTCCCCAATACTGATGCTGTAACCATCATTGGTGTTATGGAAGGTATTGTGAAATGTTGCAAGATGCAAGGCATTCAGCATAGAATTTATAATCCTGCTTTAGTCTTGAGGCGTTTGCCAGCATTTCTGAAGCGGGCCCTAACAAGCAGCAAGTTGCCATCACAGTTTGGTCTTCAATCCAGTTTACTCAGTCTTCTGCTCACATTTACTAAGGCTGTAAGTTATATATCTTCATGTTTTACTCCGTAATCATTACTTTTTAATTACAATTGTGTTGTTCTAGACTTAACGATGTATTCTTGAAATACCTTATTAGAGTATATAGAAGAATGCATAGTGATTGGAGATAATTGCAGCAGAAGTAACATAAATAAGATTACCTGGTGGGTGGTATTTGAGGTGAATTTGCTATATTTTGCTTGAAAAAATTATGTACAGTACTAGTGAATGTAGCAGGAAAATAATGTAAATACTAAAACAGTCTGAATATTTTCAGAAGCTGTGTTTTGCTCTGTAAATACTTATTGGTATGCCTATTTTTTCCAGATGTCAAGTGAATGGAGATATTTGTTGTGTAGCATTGGAGAAGAAACATTTAATTCGGTATTAGCTATGTGGGAGAGCCACTCATCTCCTCGTCAAACTAATTGGCTCGAATATGTGAATCTACAGATCTTGATACATCATCCACAAAAAGGTAAGGTTGCAAGTTGCCTTGATAAGAGTTCACTTAATTGCAAATTATTAAATATGACTACAGTATTTGTCTTTACATTAATTGAAATATATGGAAACATTATTGAGATAAAAGTGGCTCTGTATGCATGAAAATTTTATACAATACAGTTTTTGTTATGGTCATGCTAAAAATCAGGCAGAGATAGATAGATAAATAACTGTAATGTGTGTATTTATATGTATGTGTGTAGATGCTAGATGACCACATGCTTTCCGGACACCTCGTGACCAACGCTGAGTCAATAACTTGTGTCCGGGTGAGTGGTTGGTCATCCTGAAAATCTAGGGGGAAATATTTTGAAAAAATTCTACAGTATTTTGTTTGTAATGACCAATATGAGAAGTTCTGATCTGCTTGTTAACTTGAAGATTATTGTTGATGGTGCATTGTTATTTCCATAGTAGATGTGGTGGTGGATGTTTATGGTGTTAGGTTGATTGAAGTAAAGATTAATGGTGATGAGGTAGCCTTGGGTCATCATGTGATGATTCGGGTGCTGGTGATTTAGTGTGAGGTTTCTAGGAAGCATTTGCAAAAAGAGTTTTTAACTGAGAGTTGTTTCAATCCCTTCGTACTTGTTTGCAAAAACTGCTCATTCCTATTGTAAATGCTCATTATCTCCTAAGTGCCACACTCACTGTTACTTGGTTCCATAAAATCAAGAATGCCTTTAAAATATTTCTGAACTTTTTCCATGTTAGCTTTTTCCTTTAACACTCATTCCTCATTCACTTCATCTTTAGCCCTCATTATCATCCAGATTTTCCTCCTCTGGCTTTTTGTCTGAAACTAAATCTATAATTTCGTCATCAGTAATGATTTGAAAGGTCGGGGCATCTATGCCATAATATATCCATTCGTCTGTTTCAGCTTCTTGTGTTTGTCACCAGTTCTACTCTCAGTTCTGGGGCTTTATTCCCTCTGATAAAGGCTAGGAATTCCTCTCCTAATTTGTTCTTTTTGCTAATGTTTTCAGGCCCAAATCCTTCAAAATCTGCATCATTGACTTCTGCAGGAAACAGACCTGATGCAGGACAAAGTTTTCTCCAACCATTTTCTTAGTGTTGTTAGCGTTACTTGGTCCCATGAACCAGCAATAGTCCAGATAGCTGACAATACTGTGAAGGCTTTATGAAAGTACTTAACTGTTACAACTCCCAGAATCCCATCCAGGTACAATCCAGGTACCATTGGGCAGCAAGGCCTGGCGTTTGCTCACCTCACAATTTTATCGCATATTTTTATCCAGACCTCTCGCCTCACCAGTTTATCATGCGTTTTTTATTCGGACAGATCCAAGATGAATAACGGGCATATCCATATAAGTAATGTCCAGAAAGCATGTGGTCATGTGTATATATAAAGCCAAAATATAATTACTCAAAGATGCAGTAGTACCTGTAATAACAATTTTGTTAAACAATTTTTTTTCAGGTGGGGAAACCATTGAAGTAAGCCAATTTGTACATGATTCCGTTAAATGGCAGCGTTGTCTCCACCACCTCTACCAACTTGTTCATGATCATCTTGACCAACTGACAATGAAGAACAAATTAGCATCATCATCTGCTTTAAATGTTGATCACTACACCATACCTACTCTTCTAGTAACTTTAACAGCAAGGCTTTGTTGCAAGGTAACGAGCACAGTGATGTATATACTCTACTGTAGACATTTTAGTCTGAAGTAAGGAGAGCGAGAAAGTTTCTTTCTTGTAGTTTGACTTTGTTCTGATGTTGACACCCACACTTTGAAGTATGATTGTGCCTATTTTGACAACTTATTGATATCCGTATGATTATTATACTTTTTGAGTGAATTTTAATGGTATTAAGAGGATTAATTTATCAAAATTAGTTTTTTTTATATTTAATCTGACATTTAGATAATGTATTTTCTTAGACTGTCAAAAAGCATTTGATTCTGTTTTATACAAAAAAAATCTTGGTGGTCTTGCTTAAAGAAAGTCTTTTGAGTGTTGTTGAATACATCTTCTGGAGGTCATTCTGGGTTGGACTGGAATTGTCTAGTATTACTTATTCACCATTCATGGCCCAATGACGGTAGATTGAGAGGATTGCCACTGCATTAGGGATGAGAAGGTCACACTGACCTGGCTGGACTTGGCTGTGTCCACGTGGGAACAGGATATTGCCTAAGTTAGCAGCCGAGTGGCTTGCTCAAATAGAAGCTTCTTATCTAAACACTTCGAGCCTTATTTGTTTTAACTAACAACAACTGATAAATAACTAATTATCTATCACCTTCATCCTCTTACATTACTTTTCATATGTAATGAAACTAGGCAGAGGGAACAGGAGGCCAGACACAGAATACCATAATGCTTGGAGCACCGTGTAACAAATGGAATTGAATGTGAATAAATGCCATGTTATGAAATGTGGAATAGGAGAAAATAGACCACACAGTCTACAAATTATGTGGAAAGGAGTTAAAGAACTCTAACAAAGAAAGAGGTCTGGGGTGGTTCTGGATAATGGACTGTCACCAGAGGAACACGAAGGACATTGTAGGAGGAGCATATGCTACACTCTTCAGCTTCAGAATTCCTTTTAATTACATGGCTGGTAAAATACTAAAGAATCTGCTCATGACTTTTGCGAGACCAAAATTTGAATATGCAGCAATTGTATGGTGCCCTTATCTTAAGAAGCACTTCAATAAACTGGAAAGGTGTAAAGGCATGCTACTAAATGGCTTTCAGAACTGAAAAACAAGAGTTATGAAGAAAGGCTAGAGGCGTTAAATATGCCAAAACTAGAACACTGAAGAAAAAGAGGTGATATTATCACCACTTAAAAATAATAACGGGAATCGACCAAATTGACAAAGAGGAATTTCTGACACCACCAACCTCAAGAACAAGAGGTCATAGATTCAAGCTAAGGAAACAAAGATGCCGAAAAATATTAGAAAGTTGTCTTTTGCAAACAGAGTGGTAGACGGTTGGAACAATGGTGAGAAAGTGGTGGAGATCAGAACCATCAGTATTTTCAAAATGTTATACGACAAAAAGTACTGGGAAGATGGGACACTACGAGTGTAGCTCTCGTCCTGTAACTACGCTTAGATAATTACATATACTGTATATGTATGTGAAATAGCTACATTTGAGAAACATGTTATTTGAAATGAGAGTGATAAAGGACTTGTTACAGAATATACCACGCATAAGTTGATCAAACAATACTAGCACAGGTGATTATATACTTCTAAGAGTCTCAATCGTCACATGTCATTAGTATATTTTATAAACTTTCTGAATTAGCACTAAGCTCTTAACAAAAATTGTTTTTTATATCATATTTATGTAGATTTTCCAAGACAACAATGGCTATGGAGTTCTGGATGTTACCCAGGACAGCAGTAATGATAATAGTAATGCGACAGGCAACAAGCCTAACAAGAGACGAAGAATTGAAGTTGGATTACAACCCTTGGTGTGCCTGCTACGTGAAGAGGGAACACAGCTGCATACAATTCCATGGTAAAGAACATTTTACATTTTTGTTTATGGAATGAAATGGCAAAAATCTTCTAGATGCCTCTATCTAAACATTATCTTCTGGTGTATGTTTCCCGACACCTGTTGCCTAAGTAAACGTCTGCTTTTATCTTTCGTGAAGTTGGTTATCTATTGAGGGGGTATTATCACATTGAATGAATGGTATGGAGAAGATTACTTGTAAGGCTTCTCAAGGAAGAGAAGACCTCAGAGGGATTGAAGAGTTAAAGAAGCAAATAGTTTAGTATGGAATCATAGCTTTTATTCTGGGAATTTATTGCATTTCTAGTTGTACTTGGATGAGAGTTTAATATGCCAGGTTATAGCAAGCCACAAAAATGTGTGTGAAATGTATTGTTTAGAGAATGAAAGTGCCCAAGTTGGGTTTTGTGGATAGTTAAAGGGTAAGTACACAACATAGAGGAAAGATTTCTAAACCAAAGTTGTTGCAAATGTTAAGTATACTATGGTTGAATAAACAAGTCACAAGGTGCTGACAGTGATGTAAAGAAATGTCAAGATGGGGTAATGACTACCCCTGATGTTTCACGAGATATAAAAGTTCTTATAGGCTAAATTTTGTGGTAAAAGAAAAACTTCAGATTTGTTACTTTAAAATAAAAGTGTAAATAATTTTGTGTTTTAAACAGGTATCAAATACTTCATGAGCTGTTGAAATCCTACAGTGCATTCTTTGACCAAGCAAAGTGTTCCATGATGTTGGAGTTATTCACCCACACTTTGTCTGAGTGCAGAAAGCCAGCAATACAAGAGCATGTTATATGGTAAGTGATATTTATGTTGGTACAACAATCATAGAAGTCTGTACTGACTTTCTGTACTTTTATATGTAGGTCCTGCAGACATCCATCTCATTGTATATATTGCATACTTTTGTGGGGAGCCCCTATGGCTCCCTGGAGCTATCAGGCTAATATGTGATCAATTAGACCGGGGCATTAGTCTATGGAGTTCTGCCTACCGGGGACCACGAGTCAGAACCTGGCCCACTCGGAGAGGTGCAGGGACCAATGGCCCTGGAACACCCCCCTCCCCCCTGTGGTTGGGGTTTTTCCTTATTTTCAGGTGACCTGATACTGGATTATACTGTAGTTAAATACATTGGCAAGTTTAAAGGTACACTCTTTTTAAAGCTCGAGAACATAAGTCTGTACAGGTCAGTCACTAAAGATGATGATAATGACCTTAATTGAATGAACATAAAAAGTTCTTATTGGATAAAATTATTCCTCTTTGGAATGAAGAAGGCTGTATAGAAATTGGAAATTATGTTTGAGAGAAGAGAAGTGGTTTCCTATTGTTGGGGACAGGAAGTCTGTTAGGCTTATCAGTCTCCTAGGCCAATGACAAGCCTTCCCCAAGATGCAACCCACAACAGTTGCCTAGCTCCTGGGTGCATATTTATTGTTCGATAAACATAGACGTTAGGAGAAAGGAAATGTGTCTAAGCATCTTGGTCCTGCATGAGTATCGAACCCATGACCTTTCAATTGTGACTTGGTTGCACTTTATATTGTTCTACAGAAAAGGCAAAGTAAGAAGCAAACAGAAGAAACAGTACCTATAATTTTTTTAATTTACAGATAAAACAGTACCATGAAAAAATGGGGCCAACACCAACAATCAATCGAGAGCAGAACTGAAGTTGAGTCGAAGTGAATGAGACTGAGAGTTGCTTGTTTTTGGGGGTGCTCTACTCTTTTGGTAGTTTTCCTTTTGGCCTGGGTTGATCTAGTATCCCCAGGCTTTCTTGCTCCTGTTTAGGTGGCAAGATTCTGGTTCTGATCTCTGGTAGGTGCTTGTGACTCAGTGGGCCTGGTGAGGTGCTTGGGCTTGGAGCTAAATATGCAGGCACTTAGGGAGCCACCAAAGAGAACCCTTACAGAAAAATCTCTTGTGAACATGCCAGATTAACTCTTTGACAAGAATCTTGTATTATTTTTCCTGTTCTTTATACACAACTTTCTCACACATTACCATTTTTTTCCATCCATTCATGTAATATTGTAATATTGCAGGTTAATGATTACAAATATTACTTTAGTACAATTGTGGTATGTATCTATATTTCAGGTGTCTTTGTGCTCTAGCTCATCAATACAATAAGGTTTATCACATGAGTGGAACTGAAAATGAGAAAAAAATTGGAAAATGGACTCCAGTATGGGACATGACATTGAGGTAAGCCTTACAGGCATATTACTTACTTGAATTGTATAACCAGGTTTAAGGATATAGTGTTCAGCTTGTGTATATTTCTGTGGAGGAGCCCCTTCGGCTCCCTGGAGCTATCAGCCTAATGTGTGATGTATTGGACCAAGCCATTAGTCTTTGGAGTTTGACGAAGATAACTACCGGGGACCACGAGCCAGAACCTGGCCCCCTCGGAGAGGTTGTAGGGAGCAATGGCCCTGGAAAACCCCCTGTGGTTGGGGAGTTTCCTTATCTGCCATCGACCAGAGTTAGGCACCCAGAAAGGTAGGCATAACAAAATAAACCCCACTTGGTAAGAAAAGTATAAAGAAAAACAGAACAGAGAGGCAGCACTACCTCCTATCCCAAGGAAACAAGCAAATGTCATTAATTAAATTTTCCCCAGTGTCTTTGTAGTAACAATATCATCCGACAGGGACGTTTGAAAAATTTGTTGTGATGATGCAGAATGTTATACTTTCCTGACTGTCATAATCTTGTTTACGGGAGCATCTGGGTGTCTTGTTCAAAAAGTAGCTTTTCATATGCACTCAGAGCCTAATTGTTTAACTTTTATTCATTGTACCAGACTAGTGAGTGGGAAGCAGTGTAGCAGATCTGGGCTAGAGCTTCTACAGACACTAATGGAGACAGGTCTTGCTCATCCAAGTTCGTCTGTCTTCAAGCTGTTTTATCAGGTAAAGATGCACACAGGCTGAGAAGTATGAGTGGGGATAAGAGGTATGATAAGAATAGATAATATTATTGAAAGATGTGGTGTGTGAAAATCTGTGCACTATAATCTTATAATAATAATTTTTTTTAATAAACCATGGATAAAAAATGGTTTTTAGTTAATTTGGGGGCATGAGAAACACTCAAAATAAATATAGGCAGTTTGATGAGGGAGTGAAAAATTGTGATATGCAAATGAAAATTGGCAATGAACAGGATGAATTAGTAATTTATACTGGAAGAAGGAATGACCAGCAAGGTTGTTTGTATAACATACTGGCAAGAAATAATTCTTGTGCAGCAATTAATAAAAGTAATATTAAAACCAGTAACAGATTAAGTGATTTTATCTAAAATAGTAGCAGCCAGAACCAGACAATCCAGAGCAAAGCAGGCATGGTAGACTGAACAATATCCCTTTATGCGAGTCCATTCTGCATTGCTGAAGGCAAGGAAGAGCATTGAGATATTTGACATTTAGGATACTGAGAAACCTCCAAAACTCTCAGGTCCAGAAAATGGCTGTGGAAGTAACAAAAAGGAAGTTGATATGACTGCATACTCACAAACACTTCAGAAGTACAATGTATACTTCATATGAGCAACAAACAAGCTGATGAACATAGAGACTTGGCATAAAAAAAGCACCAGAAAGAAGTGCTGTCCAGTCATAGAGCAACCCGGTAAGGGTAATAGAAACCAAGCAAACTAGAGAAGAGCATTAACCAGCTGGAAGAAGAAAAATACCAGCACCAAACTGTAATTGGTTTAAGGGAACTAAACTAAAAAAGACCGAAGCACAACTGAGCCCCACAGCACTGTAAATGGTGCTTGCCGTTACAGGACTGGTGGACTTGTAATTAAAAAAAAAAAACGACAGTGGTAGTAATTACCTAAATGTAATTACAAGATAAGGGCTATGCTCATAGTGCTCTTGACTTCCCGATACTCATATGATGCTTTGAAATTACTGACACTTCTGACTGCCTCCGCCTTCATATTTAATTTGTTTAAACTGTCTACCACCCTGTTTGCAAAAGTGAACTTTCTAATTTTTTTAAACAGCTTTGTTTCCTTAGTTTGAACCTATGTCTTCTTTTTCTTGAAGTTGCAGTTTTCAGCCTCTTATTAGCGATGGTCAGCAAAAGTGAACCAAGCAACCCTAAAGTCCAAAAGACTAGAAGGTTGTTGGCTTACTTGATCATGAAACAGAGAGCATGACCCAGTACCAAAGTTAAGTCAATAGGAAAGCCAACCAATTGTTTGTACAGGAGAGGCCAGTCTCAGGCAGGAGGCTTTGAACCCTTTCTTGCATAAGCTTCATAGGAAGGAGGGGTAATGATGAAATTTGTATATGCCTTTTGATTATATGGATGAGATTTATTTTATTTTCAGGGCTATGTAGATATGAATGCAACCGCACTGTCTACTCTCTTGGTTCTGCTGTCCTTGGTTCCGGTCCCAAAGCATGTCAAGGTAATTAACATTTGCTTGAACTACTAGTAGCTAATTTACTTTCATTAATGATTCATATAATCTTTTGTAAATCAGGCATACAAGATAAAGTCTCTTGGTTTTGTGTATACTGTAATTTTATTGTACCTTACTATGACTGTTCATGTGATGCATCCTGTGTTGCAGGATGAATCATCTGTTTTGAGCGATGAGCTGGTGAAAGATGGCAGAATTAAGCTCCTTCATATAGTCCTGCCTGTCCATAGGGAGGGTATACTTCACCTTATTTATTGTATGTAATAATTTTAACCTGTCCTCACAGTGCATCGATCTTTATAAGGAAGAAATACACAAGTACAAAACTTAATGCAAAGAAAAATTGTTAATTAGAAAATAAATGCACTTCTTACAAAAATGGTACTCAGCACAGTGTGAGAATGAGTTGAATGATTTAGTGTAACAAAAATATTTTATAAATGAATAAAATAAATACGTAAGAGAAATTACTTGTGTGAAATGGCTTTGTATACAGTATATATTTTATTATATGTTATATATTATAGGTTATATATTATTTTAATAACTTGTAGGTGGCATAGTTAATGGCGGGATGGCTTCAGTTGCCTCGCTAGAAAATCCAGTACTTCTAGCCCAGCTGCTTCTTCAACTACGTCTTAGAGATCCAAGCTGTGCTGAGGTAAGGAGTTGTAATAGCAAACAGTGGCTTAAATTTGATTAATCTACTGAGGCTCTAGGTCATGATTGTTTTATAACTGGTTTGATTTGGCCTCACTTTTGAGATTTAAGATGCTACAGTCTAATGTCCATATTAGGAATACAGCACAATAATAATCAAAACATAATTAATGATCCAATGAAGGTTTGAAGTAAAATATATATATGTACACTGTAGCTTTCTTTGGTTGATGTGATAATAAATTAAATACAAAAAGATTACCTGTTTGCAGTAAGCATGGGAAAGTTATTTTGGTTAGTGAGGCTCGTTATGGTGTAAAATGTGTTCTCCAGACATGCTGATGCGTCATAGTCTTCACTTGGTATTGAGAGTTGGGCAAATATTTATATTTATTCCTTTTCAAGCATGTAAATTCAGTTAAAGGGTCCTTCTTTTTTTTTGCAGAGTGAATGGACAAAAATTGTAGAATTTAAGAAGGAGTCAAGAAATAGCCATAATAAGTCAGATTTTCTCTCCCATTTAGAAGATATATATCGATTATCTACATTTTCTTGTGACTTGCCCAAGAACCAGCTCTCCAAGAACAACTCCTCTAAATTGAAAACAAGTTTTAAAGAGTTGAAAATTCTTCATAAAGAGGAGGAATGCATGATAGAGAGAATAATAGCCTTCGTAGAGCAGGTGAATTGTCTAAGAGAATTTAAGTTTTTTCCCTCATTCAAATGTAATGTTTTGCTCTGGCATAATTCTCAGCACCATTATCTACTAAATCATAAATATTTGCTTGATTATGTGACCAGGGTTTTGTGTAATACTACACAGGGATGCAGCCATTAAATTTGTTAAGGGGTAAGGGAGGAGCTTAATCAAAATTAAGAACAAATTAGTTCACAGCAGTTGCTTGTCAATTTATAAGTCATTGACTTGGTTCATTGTAGAGTCAACAAAGTGCTGACAGTTCTGTAGAGAAGCACCATGATAACATTACTGTATAGGCAAAATGTCATCTCTTAAAGTCTGCTCTCATCTAGGTATTTCTCTTCATCTGATCAGTTGCTTCAGTTCATTGATGTATTTCAATAAACATGGCATCTTCCATGCCATTATAATAAGAGAATTCTGTAGTTATGAAGAAAATAAATTGAATGACTGGTTGCTGAGATGAGCAATCATCTCATTAGGGTATGGTTACTTTGCAAACCTAAGTGTTACTTTTTTATACTTTTTGAGCATATTTTCTGTAGAGAGCCCCTCCAGCTCCCCTGAGCTATACCGGGCTGATGTGTATATATTAGACCGTGGCAACAGTCAATCAATGGAGTTTGTAGCCTACAGGGGATCACAAGCCAGAACCTGGCCCCCCTCAGAGAGGCACGAGGAGCAATGGCCTATAGACACCCCCTTGTAGTTGGAAGCAGTCTGTGTCTGCTATCTACCAGATCAGGCACCCAGAAAGGTAGGAATCTCAAAACAAACTACAGTTAAAGATTGCAAATCGAAAGCCGAACAAGCAAGCAGAACTCTCCAATCAGAAATCGAGCAAACAAGCATAACATCACCACAGCCTCTGCACAGCTCCCCCCTTCCTGGAAGAGGGAAGGAGGAGCCCCCAGACCTCCTGCACTGGCTACCCAACCCCAGTTCTGAGGCTGTTGTGTTGGGTGGTGGTCATTCGACTCTGGCTCCAATCTTTGAGCATTGCTGTGCCTTGTGGTGTTGTGCTGCGGTGTGGTGGTGTGCGAGCCAGTTTACCTAGATTCCCGCTTCCAGGGAGGGGGAACTGCGCTTACAGCATCACGACGGTTGTGGTGATAATATGCTTGTTTATCCGTTTTCTGATTGGGGAGTTCTGCTTGCTCATTCAGCTTTTGGTTTTCAATTTTTAACCAGCTGTAGTTTGTTTTGGGATTCCTACCTTTGTGGGTGCCTGACCTGGTAGATGGCAGACATGGACTGCTTCCAACTACATGGCAGTGTCTATAGCAATTGCTTCTCGTGCCTCTCTGAGGGGGGCCAGGTTCTGGCTCGTGGTCCCCAGTAGGTTAAGAACTCCATTGATTTACTGTTGCCACAGTCTAAAATATACTCATCAGCCCAGTATAATTTTGGGAAACCTCCGAGTCTCACCCAGAAAATAGCGCTTCATTACATTCAACACTGGTATTTTAGGTAAAAACTCTGTAAACTTAATACTAGGAAATAATTTCTGGGGAAGAGAGAGGAAGGTGGAGGGAGGGTGGAGGCCCAGCCTTGGATATTATTCTGATCCCACATGAAGGTTTGTGCAATTGCTGTATTTAAAAAATGTTTGAATAAGATTTAAATTTCCATCATGCATTCATTCTTTTTATTTATACAGTAGGCTTGTACACTACTTCATGTTACATCTTAATATAATTTAACAATTTCTTATGTCTTTACAGTGTGTGTGTTCATTAATACTGTAATGTGCCTTCATTTTGACAATATTGTTTAAATATTGAATTTTCTTGTAGTTGAAAGCTTGACATTTTTTTTATTACTGAGAAAAATTATGCATATTGTGTGTTTTCCAGGTGGAAACAGAGGACATCCTTACCATCTCCAATGGTTTACAAGTTCTACTACAAGTACTGCAGCTGATTGTAATTGTACTACTTCATATTTCTGATCAAAGGTAAACGATTCTTTTCAGCTCTGCTTGAATTTGTTTTCTTAGTGTCTGTTAATAAGAGATGTGTAAGTTCCTTCTTACACCTCCTCCTAAGTTCCCTCCTCGTAAGTTCCTTAAATCGGTTTTTGGTGCAGTACATTGTTTAGTTTTAGTGCACAAGTAATAGTCAACTATTTAGGAGAGAGGATCTAGTGAACCCACAAAACATATTTAGGTTTCTCTAAATCAGTTTTGATGATTGAATTTGGTTTATTAACAATTTTGTAACCCTTTGCCTAAGCTTCAACTGACCCCAAAATTCATACTAAACTTGTGAATGCTTTACGTGTGTGTGTAGGCAAGCTGTTCTTATGTATGGATTTCTTTTTCACGATGATCAGGGTTATCTTTTCTGCTCAGTAAGTTCATGTATTTCAGCACTGGGGTTCTCGTCTCTTGTTTTGCCACTACATTGACAGTTGCGAGGTATTTTGTGGTAGGACAGATGTTTTGGTTCGTATGTGCACTGGTAATAGTTTTTTCTCTCTTGGAGTAGCAGCTACATTCACCACTTCCTGGCCTTATGTCTGTGGTGTGTGTATGAGTAATAGACAAGGCATGCCAATCACTTCACCTTAATTATGTGATTGCACAACGTGGCTTGTTTTTCCCCAGATTTTGCCTTGGCAACGATTTTATGGCTATGTTCTCATAGCACTGCCTTTTATAATGCTGGTTTATTTTAGTGCTGTTGGTCACGTAAATATTTTTCTTTAAACAAAATATAACAAAAATCCATTACAATAGTGGCCAGTACAATGAGCATATCAGCGTTTGAACTTTATTATCCAACATTTAAATTGAACATGCTGTTATATATACCTTCTATATATAACATGTATACATTCTTGGGAAATTAGGACATAATTAAAATACTTTTCCTATCAAGATTAATTATATGATGTGGAGGATGCATTCCATGGCCAAATTTTTTTGTAATTAGATGGCATATAGTATAATGCATTTGTGATTTCCAGAAATAGCAGCAGTATGTGATGAGACTTGGTGTGGGGTGAATGTTTTGAATGTTAGATGAGGAGTTACTCTGAAAAGTAGGACTGTATGACATGCCATCTGATGGAGAAAGAGGGGTTCCTGCTTCTTGGTTGTTACTTGATCACTTCACCTGCGTGGCTGGTGTTGGTTGGGGCCGTCTCCCATCGTTGCCATGTTCTGCAGAGATCAGACACTAATATGCACTCGGATCAATGTCAGAGAGATGGTGGCAGCTTGATGGCATTCTGTTGAATCTGGAATGCATTGCCAATATTTTGTACAGCATTTATTTCACATGAAGTAAACCTACATCTCTTATGTGTTTTTAATATATACCTGTATAGTTTGGATTTTTTGTTTTGTAATTTTTAGTTATCAGATTGCAGATGAAACTACAGCAGGTGATGAAATTGGTAACATCAGGAATACAAAGGATGTGTTCTGTGCCATCAACATGTGCATTTGGTAATGTGCTTCCAGTACTGGAGTTATTTCAACATTTATTTCACATTGTGAACAACTGGGCAAAATCCCTTGAAGTAAGTATTTATGTAAATACAGGATGAAGTAGCACTAATTGCTTGATTATACATTTATGGCTATCAAAAGTAGCCTACAAGGTGTCTGACATTGCCCGCCTTATGTTTAAGAGGACTGTATTTTGAATTCATACTAGACTAACAAAATATTTACATTTAAATATATTCATACTAAAGAATTAAGTTCTATTAAGTTGTCGGTTGATTCCGTCCTGTAATCCGAAAATCCTGTAAGCTGGATTCAGTTTAATAAAATATGCTTCTTTATGTATCCTGGAGGTCCAGAGAGGCTGACACTTGTGGTGTTTTCGTTTTTCAATAGTTAATACAATTGCATGATTGTGGGATAAACTATATCAGGAAGATTAAGATTTCTTACATAGTAGCTCCAGTGTGATATAATCATATCCTTATTTCTTTCCATCCCATGTACTGGTACTTTATAAAGTAAATAAGGCTGATAGATAAACATACTGATAACATTTACAAATCTAAGGTGCAGACGGTTACAATTTTAATTTGTCATTGATTATATATTGAAAATGCATATTTTCAGTAATTTAGTGGATAACATTTAGAATACAATTTTTTTTTTCAGGATCCAAATGCTAAAAGCAATGGGGAAAAGTTGCAAGAGCTTTTATTATCTTCCACGCCACCTGCTCTCTTTGCATGCATCATTGAGCTCGTGAAGGCAAGAACTACAAAGTCTCTCAATGATTCCCAACCAGGGATCTCACAATTGAACAATAATATGAGGAGGTCAGTGAGCCAAGGTAAGAAATTTGAAGCACAGCACAGATATATAATCTTCATCAATGAATTGCCATTATGGTTTCTGAGCCAGACTCCTCCAATCGCCATCTGAGCCAGACTTCTCCAATCACCATCTGAGTCTTGGCCTTGTCTCAGTCAGTACTCAATATGTCTGCCAGGCTTTTGTTAACCTGTGTCCCACGGTAACAAAGAACTTTTCAACTGGTCTTGTCATCTAGATAAGGAGAAGAGGCAGGGTAGATAAAGCTCAACTCACCACCAAAAAACAAGTGCTTGCCATGATTCCAAAGAGCAGATACAGTACAACAAACCCAAAGAGTTTGGAAAACACTAGGAAAACCAGTTAAATCTTTGCAAACTGCCAGTTGGGTAACTACATAGTTCTCTGCCACTAGAGGGCAGCACCAGCATCACTAACAGGTTGGAAGATCCAGTTACCTTCACTTGTCACCTGGTGCAGAGACTGAATTCAGTTCAGTTGACTGATCCTTCCTTGAGACTGCCTCTGTGCAAGGCATCCATTGCCCAGTGTTCCTCTAATTAGCTTTCTCTGCTTCAACTTGGGTTCTGGGGTATTTTCTCTTGTACGTACCTAGTTGTGAATGCTGGGGGTTGAGCTTTGGCTCTTGGAGGACTGATGGCCAGCAGAGTTTGCCTGTCTTTTCTGCAGCTGTCTGGTAAGAATTTTATTCAGAATAGAAATGTACAATTACATTTGTGTACTTATTAAATTGTCAGAATATTTTGAGATGCTACCTAACAAGTTAAAATATTTTGGAAACATTTACATTGCTCAGGAACCATGCTCCAAATGTAACAAAAAACCGTGTGTAGTCATAGTTAAAAATACAAAAATTGTACTGTGATGTACAGTATATTTACAAACATTTTTATATTTTTATTTATTCTTTACTTTAAAATGACTGAAGAAGGAATTACAAATATTCCAGGTTCTTCCACCGACTTAGACTTGGATTTTGATGACTTTGATGAAGCTGGACCATCAGTGTCAATGAAAGATGATTTTCAGCAGTTTGATGAACATGATAACAATGCATTATTAGAAGCAACTACAGATGGTGAGACATGACTAGTTTTACTTTTAGCAAATTTGTAATGGAATCTCAGCTCGGCATATAATTCTGTATTTACTTTGAATTCTGTATTTACGTCTGAATTTAATTGTGCATTAGATTTTGATAAGAGAATTTTCATTGTATATAAAGACTAAAGCAGTGCCTATATTAGATCTTGACTCATACCATGTTGGCCTCTGGGTCTGACAATTTTTAAATGAGAATTAATAGCTTCCTTTCTATCTCTGATGCATCGCACATTCTACACGATCCTTGATGCTGATTTGAAAAATTTTTCTTCCTTTGCACCTTCAGCTGCTCTCTGCTGATTTGCCAGTTTTTTCCTTTATTCCTTGTTCTGTCACCTTAGTTTCCTCTTTAATTTTCCTTCCTCTTCCAATTGTTCCATTCTCTCCTGTAACACTGGCTGCTGCCTCAACTCTGACTTTATATCAAACTAACAACTGTATCTGTGTTGATAATTTAGTCTTTGAACTCTATAGAATATTTTGAACTTGATATGAAGTATTTCCTCTGCATCTTTTAACTAGGAATGAATTAAGTCCTATATGCTTACACTAAGCTTTAATGTATGTTATGCTTCATTTTGTACATCATGTGATTTACCATTTTTCTTCTCCAGAAAACATCATACTGGAAGATATTAGCTCCTACAGTTTGCAAGATCAGTGCATTATATTGGCACAACAATGGCTAAGTGATGTAAATGAGTCTTGGTGCACTGTTAACGTAGGTGAAGATAGTCAGAACTCCTTACTGGATGTTATCAACCTCATCATAGAATTTTCAAAGTACCCCAACCTAGAGACGGCTGATATTGCAGTGGTGAGTGTTACGATTTTACGACTTTATTTTGCCTCAACTATAGTGGTAGTTTTCATACCTGAAAAAGATGGCACAGTTGGTGTCATTCAAAAAAAAAAGATTGTGTTTTAATTCCAAAATTATATAGAATGGTTATTAGTATATGACTTAGTACAAGCAGCTGTTTAAAAGATGTTTTAAATTTATTTTGTTTTAGATGATAGGAAAAACTTGTTGTTTTATTGGAAAATCAGAGTCTTCCTGTCCACCAGCTTGTCCCCTCCACCTCAGCAGTCACTTCTCATTACAACAACCATTGCTCCTTTCTTTTCCCATCACTAAACACTTGCTCCCGTGTTTCCTCTCCTGCCCAGCTTATTTGTGTTTCCAGTTTTTACATATACCTTTGTTCTGTTTTCCCCATTTGAAACTGACTGTCTCTTTCTACTCTATTTATGTCCCTAAATATATTGTATATTATAACCATTGCTCCACTGGTTCTTTTGCTCTCCAGCGATGTTAGTTAGCTCCTGTAGCCTGTCTTCATATTATTTACTCTTATGTTCATCCACATATTTAACAGTATGAGGTGACTGATTAATGGTGGTATCTACAGTACCCTAAAAATTAAGTCATTGCCATAAAATAAATGTGTTACAATAAAATGCAAATATTTACAAACACTATACAGTAAAATATGAACAAATGAAAATAAGGAAATTTTAGTTTGAGGTGGACAATCACTCATGCTCTTGTGGGTAATGAGGTGCTTTGATTAGAGAGTAGTTCTTATAGTGTGCCTGTGTCTGCTGTAGTATTGTGCAGTAAACCTGCCTTGCTGCTCTAACTTACACTTTTTCATGCTCTTGCCTTGTCAGCATTTCACACCTGCACATTATGGCTGAAATAATGCAAGTAAAGTTGACAGTTGTTGAATCAGAGATGGAAAGTGACAGATACAAAACTATATTTTTCCTGCTCATGCAGACTAACTTCACCACTGAGGAAGATCAGAGAGATGTTCTCTGCCCTATAAGACCTGAAAATAGGATCAGTGAGAGATCGCTAGTGCCAAGCTGAGCTGGGATTGAATGATCGCAGACTGATGGGGGTTGGTTGCTAACCAATGGCCGGTTTCACTATAGCAATCACCATGCAGGCACACATTGAAAGGGTGCAACTGCCTTTAGGTCACATATGCAGCTCAAAGTTGGGTTGGGACAACTGGTATATAGCAGGTCATTGACTCATGACTTGAAGTTAAGAAAATATTAGACTATTATACAAGTTATTCTTTCCCGTTTCAGATCCTCAAGTTTGTCCATACACTGTTTACCTCAAATTATGATGAAGACAACATAAAAGATGGCTTTGAAATTCTCAGTTACTTATGCAAGAAACATTGCAGTGAACCTCAAGTGGCTGCATATGTTTTGAAAATTATTACAGGTTTGTGACTTGGATTTAGTTTGTAACATTATTGTGTAATTAATTCCTAGTGCACAATATCAGAAACTTCCTATGGTTACTCTATAATTTATTATCAAATCATATCTCATTCAAATAACACACACAATTTTTGTCCCTGGGTAGTAAGTGTTATTTTCCAACTAATTTTCCCTACACAGTATAGAAAATGACTATATATTAGTTCCCTCAAACTTTGCTTTGACATTTGCCTTAGACAGCTTAAAGGAGTTGTTTTGGAGGTTACTTGGAGGCTGCCAACTCCTTATCTAGAGCTGTGACAACTGTCAGTTCTAGATAAAGAGATGGCAGCCACCAAGTTGGCTGCCCCTCGCCGTGTCTCCACCTCCCTGCCCCTCGCCGCGTCTCCACCTCCCTGCCCGTCGCCGCATCTCCACCTCCCTGCCCGTCGCCGCATCTCCACCTCCCTGCCCCTCGCCGCGTCTCCACCTCCCTGCCCCTTGCCGCGTCTCCACCTCCCTGCCCCTCGCCGCATCTCCACCTCCCTGCCCCTCGCCGCATCTCCACCTCCCTGCCCCTCGCCGCGTCTCCACCTCCCTGCCCCTCGCCGCGTCTCCACCTCCCTGCCCCTCGCCGCGTCTCCACCTCCCTGCCCGTCGCCGTGTCTCCACCTCCCTGCCCCTCGCCGCGTCTCCACCTCCCTGCCCCTCGCCGTGTCTCCACCTCCCTGCCCCTCGCCGCGTCTCCACCTCCCTGCCCCTCGCCACGTCTCCACCTCCCTGCCCCTCGCCGCGTCTCCACCTCCCTGCCCCTCGCCGCGTCTCCACCTCCCTGCCCCTCGCCGCGTCTCCACCTCCCTGCCCCTCGCCGCGTCTCCACCTCCCTGCCCCTCGCCACGTCTCCACCTCCCTGCCCCTCGCCGCGTCTCCACCTCCCTGCCCCTCGCCACGTCTCCACCTCCCTGCCCCTCGCCGCGTCTCCACCTCCCTGCCCCTCGTTGCACATTGAAACCTAGAAGTTTACTTGCAATTCATATTATTTTTAGTATACAGTTTATTATTAACTTTAATTTTTCGTTTTTCTCTTATTTTCTCTCAGATCTGACTCGCGTTCATGGTAATAACTTATCTGCTGTTATTCGAGCTAGCATTGTTAAGTTGGGCATAGCTTTTGCTCAGAAACAACAAGAGGGGATCTATGGCCAGAGTGTTAGTGAGGCAATCTTCTATCTTAATGGTGAACTCAGTAAGGTATGTACCATGTACTAAGTGAGTTTCAATAAATCATATGTATATAAGTTATAAACTTTGACAGATTTTAGGAAAATATAATGCCAAATGTTTTTTATGATCCCCAATTATAAACCCCAATGTTTTTCTGACTTGTCTCCAGTACTCCTTATGCAGAGGTCAGGTTTTCTTTTTTACTGGCAATTGTGCGATGTATGTCACTGGAAATCCATTTTGGCCAAGTTTCCCTATTGTTTAGCAAGTTTTGAAGGTGTTTGTGCTAGTAAGGGAGCTGTAACGTTTGGTCACTATGTCACGTGAGTGAGAGGCCTTATATATCTTAAGGTCTGCTTTGACCAAGTTATTCGTGACTATACTAATATTTTTATTTTTGTTTTTGTATTTTTTAGATAATTTCTTATTCTGACATTTGCAGAAGATGTTTTTGGCAATTTAATTGCACCTTTACTACCCACTATGAGCAAGTGATTCATCATCAGGGAACATTATGACTTCAAAGATTTGATACAAGACCTATTAAGGCTTTGACTGGCATGAGTATTCAGTGGAACCAGGCAGGATCATATGTTCAGAGGATGCCATTTAGAATTCCATACAGACAGGAACATTTTATATTCTCTCAAGGCCTGATTTATTTAGATTGTATAAAATGTTTTTGTGAGAAACCTAGAAAAGCTCCTTTGATTGCTCCTTTACCATATCTAGTTTTTACTTTGTACTTTTAATTCTTATTTCAGGTGGATCCAAAGCGTGTGTGGTCTAGGTATGTAATACCAGAAAATGACCGTTGTGGAGAAATATTTAACCTTCTCTGTAGCCCAAGCCATGAACTGCGCATCATGGCTGCCTCTTTCATCCACGTGATATTAGTTAAAGCTGATGGAACTATGATGGATACTCAGCATCAACTGCAAACTTTTCAAGATGTTTATCAGACAGCATTGGAAGCCCTGACCTTACCGGTAAAATTTTTACAGAAGTTAATTTTTTTTTTTTTTTTAACAAAATATACCAAATAATAACCAATATTGACTTGCACATTCTCGTATAATAATACTGTATGTCATTGTTGGAAACAGGAAGTTTAACCTGACTGACACACCAGTTCGGGAAACCACGAGCGTAGCTCTCATCCTGTAACTTACACATTACCCACTGCACTATACCCATTAGAGACATCATCGTGGGACAACTGGAGTGTTGTCACACGATGTCACACATCACCCACACTTTAAATATTGCATTTAAAGCTTTCAATATCGGGTAAATAACAATTGGTCCTTGTTATGATAAGGAAAGTGATGGGATATTTGAATCTTGTGACAGATTTTAAGTACAGTATTGCAAATAATTTACCTTGTGATAAGAGATAATAATTGAAGCAACAGTTTATGCTAGGTTTCTGAAGCTTTGGCCAGCCTAGTATACACCTGTGGTTTAATATGGGAATATGTGAATGTTTATCAGTTGTCTATGTAAAAGTGCTTTTCATATTTACTCGAAGTTAAAATATTTTGTTGAAAAAATGTGTGCTGTATAATTGGTCATAATTTATTCAATTATACAATTCTGCTGTATATATTTATATTTCATGGCTAATTTGACTGCCATCTTTGACAGGAGCTATGATAGTAATGCATTTTCCAACTTTTCTGCTCTGAGTGATGTGTGATAATGCACACTAGTACCAAGTAGGATATGCACTTATGGCTTTTTTGACAACTTGCTGTTTTACACCTTGTCATCTTCACTGTGTTATGCCAGTGTCTGCAAGATTATCCTAAAAAAATTCAGCTGCCCATTGGCGGAACATGAGCTGTATGATACTCAACTGTACATAATGGAATGTATGAAGCCTAGATTCACATTATATTTGGCGCTACTGACTGCTTTCACACGCAGAGTTTAGAACAGTTAAGACAGAGGTACTGGCAGACAAATCATCTCAAGATCTCAAGAAGACACGACATGGTTTCCCACTGTTGGAGCCAGGAATCATGTTAGTCTTATTGAGGTTTTCCTAGACCAACTACTGATCTTTCCAGGGATACAACCTACAACAGTTGCCTATTTACTGCTAGATCAACACAGGTATCAGGTGAAAGGATATGTGCTCAAATGTTTCTGTTCTGCTGTGGGAATCGAACCCTGGACCGTCATGATTTCCCCGTTTTGTGAGGAGGGGGGTAGGGAGACATTTGCCTGGGAAAAGAAGGTAAGCAATACAGGAATCAAAGATGATATAAAATTTCATATGTACATTCACTATTTTCTATATAGCATCATGGATAATGAGCACCACCACACTGGCAAATCATCCACAACAGCAGCCATGTGCTTCGTAAAACCAGATGTACAGTGCTTCCCTTGCGAGTTATCACATACTCGAGGGTAATGAGAACTCTCACTTCTTTCTCAAAAACTGCTGCCACCTAATCTTGTTCTCCCCCTCAATCTCAAACTCAATTAAAGTTATTAAACCATGATCAAAGTTAGTCAGTCAAGGTAAATAATAACATGCTGAGATAAAATTTATGTTTTTAGGCAAATGTCTAAAATTATTTTATTTATTTGATGCAGTTAGAAATTTAGAGGAAGATGGAAGCTTAGATGAAGTTAGAGGAGGATGTAATGGTGTACAGTATTATATTAATTTTTTTGCCAGAAGAAAGTCATCATAAATAAGGTGTTTAAAGCTTTTGTAAATGTTGCGTTGTTGAGAAGGAAAAGTAAATGTCTTCATGAACAAATAGTGTGTTAACTTCTTGTGTGTACAAGGTGTCAAAATTATTTATTTTCTTCTATAATCTTCAGTGAGTTGTATATGAATGTTTAAGGTGTAAAAAGATTGCAAAGACTTTCATGAAATTATATTGTGATAAATATGATACTTAACGTTAATTTTTTAATAGGGCACACTTCAAGATGACTTCAAATCTGATGAAGGAGTTAACCGAGTGGCTAGCTTCCTTCTTACTTTAGGAGTAATAGCACTGAACTCTCCATTCCTTGAAGCCAAGGCGCTCTTTGCTTTGTGCCTTGCGGTTCCTGAATGTGGTGTTGATGCAGTACTTGTGTCAAGGCTTGTTAACAGGTACGTTCTTCTTAAATATATAGAGAATAGGAAATGCCATTTGTTTTCTTAAATGGGCTTTAATGCCTCAGTGTTGGGAAAAATTTCACTAACATTTGAATGTAAAATTTGTACTTATATGACCTAAATTAATTTTTCTGTGGGGATCCCCTTTCGGGTCCTTGGAGCTATCAGGCTAATATGCGAATCATTAGACTGGGGCATTTGTCTATGGAGTTCAGCCTACCTGGGACCTCGAACCAGAACCTGGTCCCTCCTCAGAGAGGCGTAGGGAGCAATGGCCCTGGAAACCCCTCCCCCTGTGGTTGTTTTTTTATCTGCCATCGACCGGGTTAGGTACTCAGAAAGGTAGGCATAGCAAAACAGACCCCACATGGTAAGAAAATTGTAATCGAAAACCAAACAGAGAGGCAGAACTCCCTCTAATCCCAAGGAAACTAGCAAACGTCAAATGGACCGGGGGGTAGAACGACTCGCCGATGGAACGCCGCGTCGCTCGTCCGTGCAGGTATCCCCCCCATTCCGTTCCGGCAACCTAGGCACTCCTGTTTGGAGGCTAAGTATCAACCGGGCTCACCCAGAAGGTGAAACAAAGCTCGAGAAGGCCTACGGAACGGAGCAGAAGTAACATTCACCCCAAATGCAAGCTGAAGTGACTCCGCCAACAGCGCACGATATGAGGCAACAGTATTAGGCATCAAATGACAGTCCTGTAAAAGCCAAGACATAAAGATCAAGGCAACCCGATCAGAAATAGAAGACAACCTATGAAGAGAGAAAATGGCAGAAAGAATGCCAGGAACTTCTTACTGTTGCCGAGACGTAGCTCTCAGGTGGGACACCATAAACAAAGCCACCTGATCACCATACAAATGGTGATAAACCCGCTTCAAAAAGACCAGACGTGAAGAGTGAAGGAGAAGACCGAACCAGCCATGTACCGGACCGGTCCGACCTGCTGGAAGAGGCGGAACCGTGGAAAACGCCTTGGGTTCGGACACTGAGCAAGCAGCGCCTGAAACCAAGGCTGGGCTGGCAACAGCTGGACTGCGGGGTAGAATAGAGTAGGCAAATTGTAATGTAGCAGGTGCATCAAGGCTAGTAGGTAGGGTATATATAGAGCTAGATCTCGCTTCCTCCATAGACACTGTTAGGCAAGTACTATTAAGTATGTAGATAGATATAATAGGAGACATGCAAACAAGTGGATACCTAGCCATGAAGTGAACTATAAAGCGTGGACCCCATGCACAGAAACAATTTCAGGGAATAACCAGTCAATAAATGTGCACATCATATTTTTACCTTATTTTTACATTCATCCTATTCTTACCTTATTCTTAACTTTCTCTTACCTGCTCCTCACCTCTCTTCTCACTCTTACTATAAATATTTGCCTGTACCTTCCTCTCTTCCATTACACAACTTGATAATGGTCCAGGATGGACTGACACCTTGTCGTTTCTTCATTTTCTAATGTGTGGTTTGATCATTGAATCTTCAGCCATGTTACTGTGACTCATCGTCTGCTTGTGCTTTATGTTTTGACTCATATTTTATTGTTTACACTTTACAGAGTAGCAATATCAAGAGGCTGTACAATGAAAAAGTTAATGCAACACCATTTGCCATACTTGGCAAAGCAGTGGGTTCTGCACAATCAAGATATTGCCAATTTTCCAGCTTGTCTCCTGGAGTCTACAAACAGTGAAAATTTCCTGAAAGAACATACAAATATCTTATTACCTGTTTTGTTTGATTGTGACAAAAGTGATTCCATTGAAAACTTGGCAAGAAATTGTGGAAAAGATGTGGTTGAGCTTTTTAAGATGAATTTTCCCACGCTCATGGCTCATATTTATCCACTTGTTTCGGCTGAATTGAATAATGATTTGGTTGAGCAGCTTACAAGACCAAAGGTAGGCTTTTTCTTGTACACATTAAAAGTCTGGACAAATATGTGTTTGTGTGCGAGTGTGTGTAAATGAGTGTATACATGTACAGTAATTATGTAAGTTTCAGTGTCTAAGTGCAGTTGCAGGTTGAGAGCTATGCTTGTGATGTCTTCTCTTTCCAATCATGTTTATCATATGACATTTTGAAACTTCCATTGGTTTTGGCAGCCCTCCACCTTCTGGACTAAGTTATTCCAACCATCCACAACTCTTGTTTGCAAAAGAGAGTTTTTGTAAAAAAAAAATTGAGCCTTTGTTTTTTTTTAGCATGAATCTGTGGCCTTTTGTTCTAAAAGTTTCAGATTTCATAAATGTGTTTGTTTACTTGCTTTTGTATGTATGTGTGTTTTAGTGTGCACGAGTGTGTATTAATTCTTCTTACAGCAATAAAAATATAGCTTATTTGAACTACAGCATCTTCTCCATCCTTCAGTCTTGGAATTTATTCCTTACTTTCATAAGTAGGCATATTGTAGATCACTTATCTCACTTAACTAGGTGAATTTCACTATAAATATATTAATGTGTATACAAGATTATGTAATCATCATTGTTATGGGTAATTCCAAAACCATTAATACTAAATGCATAGAAAAGTTAAAGATGGACTGATGAACATGCTGAGTATGGATTTAATATCTTACACACAAGAGACAGACACGAAAAGCCAATGCATTCTGATATGCAACAACACCAACAAAGACGTATTGAACTACAGAGATGAACAGGATCCAACAAATGCATAGACACTTTACAATTAAATATATATTAACACTTTATCATTTCAGTGATGCTAAAATGCCTCATCCGTACTCCAACAATAAATGTTGCAATGACACTAAAGTGCTAATGTTACTAAATCAGATGTTTTAAAACTGTCACATAGGCTCAATTATAAAAACACATTTTGCGTGGCATTTATACTCCAGCAAATTCGTTTGAAAACATTTTGACAAAATTTATGGTTATAACTCAAAAACTGAGAAAACATGAATAAAGTATTAATATTTTAGGCATCACTCAGCGGTGCACCAGGAAGTCCTGGACAATTTAAAACTTGGCAATATTTCCATTAGCATGCTGTAGAGACATGATGATAATTTGGTTTATTGTGTTTTTCAGATAATTTCTGCTAAAAGGCATTATAAATTGCTTGAAAAAAGTCTAGGAAATGAAAGGTTCAGAGAAATGATAGACAAGCACATTGGTGATATAATTCTCTCCTTGGTGAAGATTGTACATGATGCTGATGCTATCATAGAGGAAGAAGTGATTGTAGAACCAAATCCTCCATACTTTTCATCAACTGTAATACACAATACTCTGGAATATTTAAACATGATGTTTAAAGAGGCAAGTATCTCAGTGTTGCCTACCTGGTAACCTTAGAAATGAATAATTGTTTAGTATTGTATAATTTTTTTTTTAAGTTTCTGAAGAATTTCTCTGCAACACATTATGCAGTCTTATTTCAAGCTTAAAATACATACAATTTGCCATCATATGTTGAATTATACTGTTTTTGGTTGATGTTCTTGAGTACTGTACAAGTTAAATGTGAATTTATTTTCTTTACTATGTAAAGAAAAAAAATTTCTTTAAAAAGTTATTTTCTGTACTATGATATAAGTTGGGGGCTTCCATCCATAAATATTAAAAAATGAGACTAATAATAATAATAATATAATATAATTGTAATACACACAAGAGCTGATAAGCATTATTTTTCTTGCACTTTAGGTTTTAAAATTGTTTGATGTTGCAGTTAACTTGTATATTTGTGGTAGATTTTGGTACATTTGAGTTTAGTAGAGGAGTTACTTGTTATGTTAGAAAAAGATGCTGAAGTGCCATAGTCACTTGAAGAACCAGGAACAGGCAGTGCATCATGTAAGCATTCTTGTCAACCCTTTCCAAATAGTCTTTAGGTGATAATTATTTCATACCAACTGCTTTTATATTCAAAAAGTGCATACAATACCAGTCCGGTATAGGTATTGCAGATGTTCATTGTCTCCAGAGGACTGCAATTGGTTTTAGACTCCAAAACGTTTTGAATACTTTGTGCCCCTAATTTTCAGATCATACGATACCTCCAGGTGTTCAGTAACATGAAAATTTGGCTAATTAAAATGGGGTTAGGTAAGGCTGGTGGTTAACAAGGTTCCAGCAAATCCTCCACACAACTGTTGCTAGACTTGCAACTTTTGTCTGATTATTTTTGTTTTAGATTCTCACATTAATAAGCATTCTGTAGATCCTGTATTTTGCTTTGATGATGGGTTAGTTTAAATATTTTTTTTTTAGGTCAGAGAAATTATGTAAAAATTATATAACTAGTTATATGACTTGCATGCATGCAGCTATATCTAACAGGCTGGTTGACCAGACCACAATCCAGGAGGCCTGATCAAAGACTGGGCCACGGGGAACATTGATCCTCAGAATTATCTACAGATATACTACAGATAGTCGCAAATTTGCTGATATTTATAGTTCCTGGCATTGCAAAACTGATAAAATATTGGAGATGGATTGATAATGTATAAATATGAATGAGAAGGGTAGGTGAGCAAAAGTCAGCTGGCAGTGGCATGATTGAACCAACTACTGGATAATACATTAACAGAAAAGAATGTTTGGTTATGGTTTTATTTGAGTTTGGATTGCTAATTAGTGTGTGTGGTGTTAAACAAAGATTTCTTTTTTAACCTAGGCTTGCCCATTAGCTGTTCTTGCATCAAGAAAATTAGAACTCCATAAAGTTGTTCAAGGTGTTCTAGAATATTTTGCTCAGAGCAGCACTCCTCATTCTGCTCGTCGTGCCCTGTCATCTGTAGCTGCTGTCGTTCATTCATTATTGCCCCATTTAGAAGAGAATGTGAAAGATATTTCTGCATACATCATAAGATTCTTGGTTCATATACTTACCTGTTACACCTCCTCACTTCAAGAAATAGCTCCGTACTTGGCAGGTATGTTTATAGATTTATGTTAAGTATTTCTGTAACAATAATTCAAATGTTACATTACTGTATTTAGAAATGGTGCTTGTGAAATTTTCAGCTTTTCCGTTGTTGCACTATATATATGGAAATAACTAAATTTTCATGGATGTCTAATATGTATTCAATATTTTATACCTTTATAAAGGTGGTTGATGGTGAATTGTCCTGGAATAACTCTCTTGTAGATGTTCAAATGGATATATGATTGTTGTTTTCTTTTCATTTCTAATTCTTGCTTGCAGAGAAGAGGGGAGAGTATTGTGGGTATTCATTTTGTCAGGGACAGGAAGTCTGCATATATATATGTACACTTGACTTATTGAGGTTCCCCAAGGTCATACTACTAACTTTCCTCAGGATACATTCCCTCAATAGCTGTCTTAACTCCTGGGGGGGTTCCTATTTACAGAGGCACTAGCTGAAAGGAAATGTGCCCAAACATTTCTGTCCTGCCTGTTAATCAAACCTGGGATCCCCGATTGTGAATTGAGAACTAAATCGACTGTTCCGTTTTCTACATTGACATAATTTTCACAGAAGCTTTAGACTTTATATAACTTAGCTCTGCACAAAAACAGTCACTTATAATGGAAACAAAAGTGTAATTAATTTCAAAACTTTTCAGATCATTGCAATAAACTTTTATACAACGTTTGCAGCTGTGCCCTGGAACATTGTCCTCATCCATTTATATCAGTTATTCCAATTCTGTTTGCACGGTAAGTAATGTGTTGGCTTAACAAATATTTATATTGGTTATATTGAACATTGTTCCTTATCACTGCTTTATGTTAAGGTTTATGTCATACAGAGTAATTACAATATATTATGTTTTGGTTAAAATATATAGTAAGAAATTTAAACTTCTCTAGACTCTGGCATGGGAAGCAATTGATGAAGCAAAAATGAAAGGAATTCTTTATTTAATCAACCCCTTTCTTTTTTCTTTTTGCAGTTTATTACCTCTGGCAAAGGTCACCTCACCAGTTAAGAAGTCGACCCTTAGTGTCATCGAGGCAATTTTCACAAGCAACCATCCAGATGTTCAGCGAGCTGTATCAGGTTTACCACCGTTACCTGATGATGAGTAAGTGCAAATGTTGATCCATTTTTGCAATTCTAGATATCCATATACATACATATGATGACATAATGACCAAGGAAACTAAAACATTGTCTTTGTTTAATGTACTCATGTACACATACATGACATGTGACTATGTACTCTCATGTGCCTGCACACATACATGTTTTATCATTCACATACAGCCCTGTACATAAAGCTACAGAAAGTTTCATACCTAATCTGAGGAAAATGAATGAGATGCACAAAATTGACCAACCATTCACCAGGAAGTGCCAGTATGCTGACACCAAGAACAAAATGATACAGGGACAAGGTTCAGAGAGGCTATAATGCCAGCAGCATTTGCCAAGTTGCATACAAATAAACATTCTCTATGAAATTAATAAGAAATATTCGGACTGCTTTATTCATGGTAGATCAGTCGTAAGAGTATGAACACCAGTATGGAAGATGAACCTCGCAAAGAATAAAGATTAAATTTAGGAAGTATGAAGTTAACCGTTTTGCAGATTGTGAGAGACAGTGGCTGAGTGAATGTAAATTAATGATAATCAATTAAGATGTTAGAACTACTACTATAATCTGATGAATATTAATACAGTTACTGTCATGTATGATTACCAAAGGTGAAATTGTTGAATTACTCAACAAGCCAGAGAGTAGGACAGGAAACAAAGATGGGTAAAAGAAAAAAATGTCTCTACCTCCTACCACAGTAGCCATAAATGTCATGATATTACTTTCTTCAGAATCCAATTAGGAAAAATCCTCAGGAACAATGGGAGGGACCTGTAGCAAGCTGCCAGCTTCCTGTCTCCATTGAGGATGCTGAAGATATGGTAGCCCTGAGATAAATGCAGTTATACTGTATGTGAAATATTGATATGTTATAGGCATGAAAAATCAAGAGCTGGAATATAGAGTTGGAAATGTATTTTGGTAGGGAAACAGAATAAGAAGTTTTTCTGTAATGGATATTTGTGTTTTAGATAAGACAAAGTAAAGTTGAATAATCATTGCATTATCACTGTTTAGAGCTTTTCTAGCAAACTCTTGCAGTGTTGTTTAATTAGCTATATTATTAATATTGTTATTTATATATTTTAAACAGAGAATTCCAGAGTTTGAATCCATTGCGTGATATTCATTGTCAGCTTGTGACTTCATTCTGTGGCAGTCTAACTCTTGGTGATGAAATAAAAAACTTTCTGTCTTTATCTTTGGATGAAACAGAGGTTCAGTCTGTTATACATTTGTTGAAAATGGTGAGTTTGACATGTATTAGATAATACTGTAATGTTTAGTTAATATATTTATGTGCTGATGATGCCAACAAATTTCTTGTTTATTTTCAAGAGGGGCCAAACAGTGGCTCCCTGCCACTAGCAACACTGAGATAGCTCCGTCCCTGTAAGTCATATCAGCCTTTGCGAGTCCTTTAATAGCCTACCAGAGGCCAAAACCTGGCACCCCTTCACAGGGGCACAGGGCACAGGGAATTCATGATCACCTTCACCAAAGAAACAAACATCCAGAAAGGAAGTGAAGCAACACAGCCAACTGTGCCAAGTTTACAAAAGTAAACAAGCTATGCCACGAACAACTCGGCAAATGATCCATCCAGTACTTAGGTCGTATCCCCCGCCCAGGTAACAACTGGCCAATGCCAGGTGGCTGTACCCTAGGAGTTGGTAGCTCCTCAGTGTCAACAGTTGTCAGTCCTTTGCTTGTCTAACTGCTTCATAAGTCACCAGCTCTTTGGGTCCCGGATATTCTAGAAAAGTGTTGGCCGTCCTTTGGTCCTTGTCTTGCGAATGTCCATTGTTCGTGTATCTCTTCAATATTTAGTGTTTTCTTCATGGGCATCTGTTTACAAGCCTCACTTGTTGTGCAGATTAATTAATATACCAGGTGCTTTAGTTGGTTTTCTTAGGCTCCGGACTGATGGTCGTTGACATGGGGAACCTTCAGCTCCCCCTTAGTTACCTTTCAATTACTAAGGGGATAGAGTATGACAAAACTACTGGGTGGATTGTTTGCCGTGTCATTTGCTGCACTATTTGTTTATTTTCTGTGAAGCTTGTGGTGGTCTATTTTGCTTTTCTTTCTGGGGGTTTATTTCTTCGGTGAGGATGATCATGAATTTCCTGCTTCCTGTGCTTCTTTAAGGGGACCAGGGTTTGGCCTCTGGTCCCCAGTGGGCTATTAAGACTCACAAGGGCTGATGTGACTTAAGAGGTGTGGCAGTATTTATTATTTTTGCAACTAGCAACAGGAAACTACCTCCAGGCCTCTCCAGAAAGAGGCGTTTCATTACATTCAGTGCTGGGTTTTTCTTTGCTAATACTCAGATCACTTTAAGGCTTTAATTCAGATCATTCACAAGTGCTAAATATATATATATAAGAGCTTTAATGTACTTTTTGTGTTGTGATGCAGCTTCAGATATCTTGTGCAAGATATTTGATAGTCTTTGCATTTTGCCTGTTACTTTTATAACAAGAAAAGCCATGAGTAATTAATGTTCAACATTTCAATTTCAGAATTAATAGTGTTAATAGTGCTTTATTATAGGTTATTAAAAATATAAAAATATTTGTATTAAAATATAGATACAGTATATAGATTTTGAGAGCAGAGTTATGCAGTTCTGTTATATACATTTGATCTGTGAATTGTGTTTAAAGAACATTGAATAAAATTAGCTGGATTAATTATACTTGGGTAGCCCAAAAGATATCGGTGAACATCAAGCAAAAGGAATGTAGATAAATTTTCATGACTGTGACCTTTGATAGAGGAATTACTTAAAGCAGGATGCTATGAATACTGTACCCATTTTGACATAGGTAAAATTAATTATTGAGTTGTTCTTAGCAATTCTTCCTTGACATATCTTCTTCAATGTACATTGTGAGTTTCATTAGAGTGAAAAAAATAAAAATGATTTTTTTTTAATTTTCAGGACTTCCTTAATGTTTTTTAATACTTTTACAGTTACAACATCATAGAACAGAAATACCAGAATTATATGAAAGTGTTGGCGTAGATCAAGAGAGTGCTGGACACCGACTTACTTACAGCCTTGTTACCCTTGCTTCTGGAAGTGATGAACAGGTAAGATGATGCATATGGTTCAAATGGTATTGAAAGAGTATTCCTCTGAACTTGGCACTATTCTAGCTCTCTTGGTTTTCTGTCTAATATATAATTTCCTCTTGAAAACATGCTTTTGTTCAACATGTTCCAAAAATTGGTGATTTCTGTTAGGTATATTTCCAATTTCCTTTATTCTGCCATTCATTTAGATGTGTTTCACTCCACACTTAATGAAAATTTACATAAGACAACTTATTTAATTGTCAAATCTTGAGCATTGCTGTGAACAACATAACTAGCATTATGAACAACATAACCAGCATAGCATGTTCACTGATAACTGAACCTTGTACATAATTTTTATTTCAGTCAGGATCATCTGACACTATCATCGCAAATAATTGATTACTTATTAAATGGCGCTGTGGCTCCGATTTGCGCAGCTGTGCTGTGAATTGGAGGTGTACTCATCAGCCTTGGTTGCTCTGGCAGTACTGAGGTGTTCTCAAAACCAGGAAGGATGCAGATAATTTTTTTTGAAGATGGCATCTGTTTACTGGAGTCCTGAGGAACAGGATGTGAGCTCTGTGTACCAGCAGGCATTTTGAATCTTATGATATACAGTACAGTCCTAACAAACGTGCTATGCCGGTATATGCACTGTGATATCCCCCATGATATCACAGTGTGCAATTTTAATGTCATTAAAATTGTAAACAATAAGTTATATATTTAATTCAGTATCATGTCAAAATGGATATGGATATAACCCATTTATATACACTATATAATTTATAATTACAATCAGTTTTAGGTTATTATTATTCTCTTTTTCTTATATGTAAAGGAATAATATATTTTAAACTTTGTAAACTAAATCAATTCTAAATATAAAGCAATTTATGATTAAAGTTTATAAGTAAAGTATTTGCTGCTGTTGTAGATGGCTCAACTTCTGCTTCTTTCTCCATGAACTGTGGCATTACAGAGAATTATTGTCTATCATACCTTGAGGTTACCTTGAGGTGCTTCCGGGGCTTAGCGTCCCCGCGGCCCGGTCGTCGACCAGGCCTCCTGGTTGCCGTGAACCCCATTTTCATACCATTCATCAGTGGCGATTTTTATGGCACATGTAATGCTGTCCATTTTTGTGTTGTGGACTCCCAATTTGTAGTCTTCCTCATGCTCCAGTTTAGACCCCTTATGTTGTCTGTGTAACTGTTTATTTTATATTTTACTTCTTTGTGTATTTCACTTCTGTATATAATGAAGACAGCATTGAATTTACTTTAAAAATATATGCTGTAATACTTGTCCAATTTGTAGGTTGCATTACAAGCAAGCAGATGTCTTGGAGAATTGGGACCCATTTCTTTTGGATCACCAGTATTCTACATTCAGGACAAGAACTTTTCTCAGTTACTCCAAATTGGTACAATGGATTGTGATATTGCATGTAACATCATCACCATGTTAAACAGGTAAAAAACAAAAAGTTTAAAAGTTTTTTACCTATGTAAAAATTGTGAGAAACAATAATATGGTAAGCCTTTGATCTACTTGAGGGATTCATTCCTAAGAAGCATCATGTAGAGCAAAGTTAACTTCATATTCAAAGAATACTTTCCAGACTTAGCCCAATTTCTTCCAGTATTAAGGACTGCCTGACAATTGGAAAACATAGAACTATAGTCAGAGAGGAAGAGTCAAGTTGGAGTAGTGAGAGTAGTTACTGTTCTTAATCTATGTGAATGACCTATGTTAGGAGAGAGAGAGCGGCATGTCGGCATTTGCAGACAATACAAAATTTAGAAGGAATGTAAAAATCTAGTAAGATTAGAGTGCTGTGTATGAAGATCTTAACATTCTAGGAGTGGATTGATAAATGGTTGTTAGATTTCCATCACAAAAAAAGTGTAAGGTAAAGATTGGGGAAGGGAGGTAGACAAAGAACCTATTACCATTGCAACAATCTGATTGAAATAGCGACAAGGATAAGTTTGAATATACAGAATGAAATTCAGATATCAGTATTTTGGTGAAGCCCCATTAGTGTTTTAAGCATGTCTGATACCAATTTTTTGTATCTTAAATTAGTCAATTTTTAATTAATTGTTTTATTTCAGGTTTCTTACCTGTGAAGACATTAATGTAGTGCAAGCAGCAGGCTCTGCCTTGCAAAACTTCTTATCAACTAGGGATGGCTTTAAAGCTTTCCATGATCTTGGCCAAGCACTTCAGCAGGACCTGATAGTTCTTCTCCCAATTTCCAGACCAAAAATAAAATCCACCAGTTCTTCAGGCAAGTTCTATATTGCATTTTATCATATGCAAACTGAATTATTAATGTTAATTCATTATTTAAGTTATCTGTGTGTCAGTCTAACTCCGTCTCATGGCTGCATAATTTCCAGTTAATCATTTCCTGGTTGAATGCTCTAACTTGGCTATCCCTCACAAATTTGATTTCTTAGCTAAACATTCTCAGTGTTATTCTGAACAGTGTCCATGATTTTGTCAAATTAACTAATGTAATCTGAAGAGTAGCTGTTTTATCAACCATTAACTTGTTGCATGAAATAGTGATTTTTCATTGCCTCTTTCTCTCCCTTTATTCATATTTTGAGCCAAAGTATAATATGGTCCACATCATGGCCAAAATATTGATATAGTTTACAAGTTTAAGGTATTAATCAATGTTTTAATGTTTTATCACTTTTTGTATTATACTGGGGCTACATTCAGAAATGTTTGAGATTCCATAGTCTGTAGAATATTGAATTGCATTTGCTTGGGAGAATGATAGGTAGAACAAAAATAAAAACATTATTTTAATTTTTCAGGAGTAGATGCAAATAATTATGAGCTCCTGATAGGAGATTGTGACCTCTGGTTTAGCGGGAACAGCTACGAAGAGTGGGTAACACGCCTTGCGTGCAGACTCATCGAGGCTGGCTGCGGCAGTGACATAATTACGCAGGTTCTTCCTGTATGTAAAGTGAAGGTAATGTTATTCAAAATTTTGTTTTATATGGAAGCACGGTTATCATTTGTTATGAAGTTTATTAAAAAAAAAAGAGGTTTTGTGTACTAAGAGATTTAGTGGTAAGGAAAGGTAGTTTTGTACTGTACAGTACTATGAAAAAACAATATAAAAATATTTTAGTTTTCTTGGGGTAAACTATAATACAGTTTAGATTCTATTTTGTGGCTAAACAATTTTGTTTCTTCTTTGATTATTGAATATATAATAAAAAGCTCATTCTTTAACATTTTTAGATAGAAACAAAAACTAAAAACAATATTTTAGAATAAATTGTGCTGGGTATGGGGTGCATAATAAAAAAAGAAATTGACTACATACTCCCTTATCTGTGCACTCCACTGCCATGCACATTGCAGGACATGTGTGCAAGTTGATTTTTGTAATAAAAATATGTACACTGCTAATATAAAATAATTTTCCAAGTATATTTTTCTCTCTTTAATCTTGCAGCCTGAGTTCAGTGCTTTTATGTTACCATTCATCATACATTCAGCGCTTAAGACCAACTGCATTAATCGACGGGACGTTCTGTCACGACAGTTTTCACAATTTTTTGACTATCATGTGGACATTGTTAAACTTCCATCAAGTTCTAAAGGAACTGGTAAGTATTGCTAAAAAATATATAGGTATATCACTGCTATGTTTACAAAATATCAATTTTTGCAGGAATACTGTGGATAAAAATGAGCTGTCTAAAAACTAAAGATAGAACAACTTTAAATACCACATAATTATAACTAATTTATAATTAAGTTTGTTTGATGATGTGGTGTTGATATTGTAGTAACGAAATCCATAATGATGTTACTGCAGAAGAAATAATGTGAATATATTAGTGTTAAAAGACATTATTTGTTATTACAAATAAGACATTATTTTTTATAGCATTGTGGTGTGAATGATTGGCTATTTGATCCAATATATAATTGCTTGGGTGTCATCACAGACAAGAAAGTTAATACAAATGTCATACTGCAGAAAGGCAGTTTGCCCATGTGAGGCAACTTCTATTTATACCCACCTAGACTCATATACATGTCAAACCTATGAAACAATCCAGTGATCCTACATTTATTATGTTTCCTAGTAATTTCCTCCGTATACTGTATCAGCAGTCTTATTTTCAAACGAGTAGTTACCCAGGACCTTATTGAAACTAATACATTTGCCAATTTTTAACCATTTTGTTTTGTTTCTACTTTGTATTGATATATATTTAACACCTTATATATATATATATATATATATATATATATATATATATATATATATATATATATATAATGATGATATATATATATATATATAATGATATATGCGAACAAGCCTGAATGGCTTGTTCGCATATATTTATATATAATGTTTATATATAATGTTATATATATATATATATATATATATATATATATATATATATATATATATATATATATATATATATATATATATATATATATATATATATATATATATATATATATATATATATATATATATATATATATATATATATATATATATATATATATATATATATATATATATATATATATATATATATATATATATATATATATATATATATATATATATATATATATATATATATATATATCCATATCCATCCCATATTTTATACTCTTCCATACATTTTTATATCAGTCGTGTAGCCCTTTACTCTGTCTTTCTAGATAAGTTGCATGTTTAGATAATTTACATTTAATATCATGCTTTTCCCTATTTAAGTCATCCTTGTATTGTCTCATTAGACTTAACAGTGTCCTTTCAGAGAAAATGTTTCCTGTAAAGAAATTCTCAGTTTTGTGTTTCTGTACATCATTGTTATCTGTTTATGATGTTCAGTAATTTTTAATTCATTAGTCAGGAATTTTTAGATTTTCATTATAAGAGGGCACCAGCAAAAATCTATGGCACATAATAAATTACATTTCATGATGTGCTTATTTTATGGTACACTACAACCTTGATTCAACGAACTGTATGGGCCCAAACACAATTCATTGCAGTGAGGGAGTCATAGCAACTGGAGAGGTCTCCAAAGTGTATTTCTCATTCCCTATGGGTTAATTTCACTTAGTTCCAACCAAAGATTTACTAAATCGAGGTTCCACTGTATTCATATCTATTGGTATTAGTTATATATTGTTAGCCAATGTAAAATTTTGTTTTGTATGTTTTGTGTATTTCTAGGTAAGAATATGTGCATAAACAAAGCTGCTCTTCAGGTTTTGCTTAATGTTATTGATTATCTTCGCACTCAAACACCAGATGAACCTTTCTCCGACAGGTAACATTATCATTCTCATCATCTTGAATCTGTGTTACTTTGTTGTAATATATTTAGTAATGTATATGAAGTGTAGTAAGGAAGAGCACAATAAACAGTTTGGTTAAAAATGTATTTGCATATTTTTTTAAAAGGGATTAATTTCTATTAGGAAAGAGAGAAGGAACTGTAAGAAATAGGGAATCAGAATTTTGTTTATACCGTGCTGTATTGAAACCTATCCTTTTCCTTACAGAGGCACCGTTACTCCGTGGGAAAGAAATTTGTGGCTACAGGTGAACTACCTTCATGTAGCTCAGGCGGCCCACTATTATGGTGCACATTTTTCTGCACTTCTTTTTTTACATCTACATTGTAAGGAAATTAAATTTATATACTTTATGCATAAAGCATTCACTGACTTTATTGTTCTCTCGCATGTGAACTTTTTATAGTTGTGAACTGAAACCCTACATTGGTTGGTTGGCATGGTGTCTCTAATTTTTGTTATAATATAATGCAGTTACTGATACATCACACTCTGTCTTGCATTATCTTTGAGTTAATCATGTTCATGATCAGTTATTGCTTAAGATTAACCATCAATCTTTCAAGAGAGCAGATTAAAAGAACAAAAAATTCAGGTGCTGTAAATGAAATATAGTAATTAATGTTAAGCAGACAATTTGATCATAAAGTGTATTTTCTTTTCATATTAACTTACTGATTTTATTTGTTTTAGGTGAAACTTTATTGAATGAGATGAAGCAAAATCAAAGCCAGGCATCTTTATCAGTGAGTGGACAGACTCCACTGTTGATGCAGATAACTCACCTTCCTGAAGCTGCCACTCTCAGCACACTGATGCTGCAGGTAAACCCCTTGTTATTTCAATTTCCTATTTTCATTTTGTCTATTACATCCAAATGATGATATTACTAACTTTTGTACTGAAGGTTTCCAGTATATTGTCTATAAAAAAAGCTTGAGCCTGCTAAAGGGCATACTGCTCATATTGGGAGGCCTAATGAGATTATTATCTAGGTACAGTATTTGAAATGCTTTCCATGTGATGAGTTACTGGGGAGGTTGTTGTTGTTGTTAAAGATTCGCTTCTTGGAACGAGGTTCCAAGTAGCACGAGCTATGGTGAGCCCGTAACTGGGGAGGGCTTGGGCACTAGTTAAGGGAGCAAGTAAGGGATGGGCTCAGAAGTGTAGTGTTTCATTCTGCTTAACACTTTCGCTCACCCCGCGCGCCACCCCTCGACAGATCGATATGGGCCCCAGCGTGTCACGGAAGCGCGCGTTAATTCCGAAAAGTGTATACTCTCTTCAATTTTGTCACCTCAATTCTCCTTCTACGAGATTAAATTTGGTATCATTGTGTTCGCAATAAAATTCTCTACAGTACTAAATGCATATAAACTCCAAAAGCCCAGCTAATTACCCGCAGCAAACAGAGAAAGTGCGAACGAGTTACCCAGGAGCGCGCAAACGGGATAAAATGTTTTCACTATTTTCACTCTGGTCACCTCAATTTTTGTCCTAGGTCTTTCATTTTGGTCTCAATGGGTTCGTAATAAAATTCTCTAGAGGAACATTATCATATAAGAAAAATAACCTGGTCACACTCCAACCGCCGACGAGTTGAAGACGGGCCACGCGTTAGCCATGAGTGAGCGCTCAGAGGCCTTCCTGCTACACTCCCAATTCCCACCCTTTTCAAGCCTTTCTTTCGCAATTTTCTTCCTGGAAGGGCCTTGTTCATGATTACTATCCATCGTGGAGTAAGCGTAGATAGTTTCTAAAGCCGCAGTAAGAAATATAGCCACGGAAAATAGCCGAAATGTTCACACGTTTGAGATGCGAGGGGAGGCGACATTGGTCACAACAGTGGAGCAAAGACAATGGGCCCACGGCGTGTGCCATGCCGCCTGAGGGCCACGAGGCTCAACAAAGAAAATGGGAAGACATCGACGCACATTTTAAAACCAGTCCCCAAAAAATCGGATAAAAACCTGATTTTTGGCAAATTTTTAAAGTGGATGACGCAATGCTGCGTCATCCCCGGCATTACCGCCAGTAAACGGATGACGCAATGCTGCGTCATCCCCGAGCGAAAGTGTTAATGCCCAAGTGCTATAAAGTTGCAATTGTTTAGTGCTATCTCCTGATAATTACCGCACCTTTCCACTCAATGCCATTTTTTTTCAGGTCTATAGTTGTCTTGGTGATAGTGATGGTGTAGAGGGATGTGTAGGTGCCAGCAGACTTGTTGATTCATCTGCCCGGGCAATGCGATATCAACACCGAGGCCAGTGGATGGAGGCCTTTGCAATTCATGATTCAGCAAATTGCATTCCTGGTACATTTGAAAAATTGTTCTCTGTGTATTCATATCCTTTGGTAACTGAAAGCAATTGCTGTAGTCATGATAAATTGGAATACTGTATAATATCTAAAACCCTGAGAATATATTAATTTGTGCATGATTTATGTATTTTTGTTTATTCTTTATACTGTACTTAAAATATACTTTTGTTTTGTTTTATTTAAAAATTTCAGGAATTGTTGAAGGACTTCGTGAAATGGGCCTTTTTAATACTTTAAATGCACTTTTAAGTGAAACATCACTCAAGATCTCACAGGAAGTTTCTGAAGCACAGTAAGTGTCTTTTTATGGTTTTTATTATTAACAGGTTTTGCAACTAGCTCTGGTTTTGTACCTATTTATTAAAACACGAATGAGAAAAATTATTTCATAGGAAAGATTTTGTCACTGTGGCCTCCAATCCTATTGTAATTACACATTACTGTATTATTATTATTATTATTTTTTTGCTCACATATAGCACAGCTAATGAGCTCACAAACAAAGGACAATGCAGTACATTAAATTCCATGATAAATTTATAGTGTGAGCTCTATAGTATTGTATTTTTGCTTTTATTTTATAGTAAACTGTGAATTAAATGATCTACTTTTAGTGTAGTTTCAGTAACTAAAGTCAAATAGGTTGGTATCAGTGTTGTCTAGTTACCCCTAAACAAACATGCAATACTCATAAATGTTATAATAAAAAAGAAAATATTTTATAGGTGGGAATCAGCCTGGAGACTTTCACAGTGGGACTCTGTTAACTTCAATAACAAATTTTCTGAAGAGGGGCTACTGGAATTAAAACCCAGTTTCCATCAGCAACTATTCTGTGCACTTCAGTCCCTTCACCATCAAGACCTTTGGTCTCTTCACAAACAAACTATGCAGGCTAGAAAAGGTGTCATTAGGCAGCTGAGACTTGTAAGTATGAAATAGAATTTATTTGTGTGTACATTTATAACGAAGAGTCCTTGTATTTAAACTCTGTTATCATCTCTGCCTTATATTTTAGGAATTCCTGGGTATTTACCCCCCTTTTCAGTTGTCTCGGTACCACAAACACTTGTTAAACAGTTGATTTCAACTGCTTAAATTTTAAATATTTGTCCATATTTATGTTCATGTTGTAATGTTGTGGATAATGGCCAGGAGGGGTATAGTATACTGCCATGTGGTTGTTTTCTTGACATACTTAGTGATCTTTTCCTGTTGCATACTATCCCAAAGTTCTAAACACTTGTTTCCGAGGACAGTGCTGATCTCATACATATGAATTTTGTCATGTTTTCCAGTAGTTAAACTATTTATATATTTCACTCCATAACATCCTTGCCACTATGCAGCGAGGCAGAATTAAAATTAGCTCTTCACTCACATTTTGTCATATCATGGTCAATGGGTTAAGGCAAATCTGGGGGTTACCCCAGGATGCTAGTTTAATTTGAATCCTGTTCCAAGCTTTTCTTATAGCTCTTCACTCATGTGTTGAAAACCATCGCATTAAAATTTTCACTAATTACCTTTCGCCTCCATTAATTGCTCACTGTATATAGCTCATTCACTTCACTCGTATGTTGAAAACTATCTCGTTAACATTCACTGCTGGGTAAACAGAGACTACAGTTAAGGATTGGCACCAAGTAAATCCTCCCCTGCCAGGATACAAACCTAGGCCAAAGCGCTCGCAAAGCGCCAGGCGAGTGTGTGTTAACACTACGCCACAGGGACTGCAATTTGGAACATAGCAAGGGAATTTTCCTTAATAGTGGTTTAAGGTATGCTCTGCACTGTGCTGCTCTTCCCTGGACAGTAGGACAATGCTATTTGAAAAGTTTCTTATCTCATTTGGCCTTACAGTTTCTCATGGCGTGGCACATTAGCAGTGATATGGGTGTGCCCATGGCTATTGCTCGGGAGCAACGAAAGTGCTACTCGGAAATGGATTAGTTCAGTCAGCTCTTCACTCTATTTCTTTCACTTTTTTCCATAGATTATCTATTTCCATATACCAGGTATACAGAAAAGGCTCTGGATGCATTTAGGGTGGCATAATTCAGAAATGAAATCACCAAATCCACGAAATGTGAGATTTTTCAGCGATCATGAATGAAAATGAAGTGTTTGACTGCTCAGAATGATTGGGACTCATGGCATTAGGTAAAGCACTGGCACTGGATAAACTAGAGAAATGCACAGTGTTGAATTTGCCTTTGCTTTCACCTGGACAATTTATGCGTAACTGAATCTGAAACCATGCACTCAGAACTAAAAAAAAAAAAAAATATGTTTGCATGCTGCAAATATGCACAGATCATGAGTCAACAGAATGTGGGATGATTGGAAGATGATGACAGAGGTGTGCTGAAGTCAGCATAGATATCCAAGCAGGTCCAGAGCACTCCATTGGCAGTGCTTTGTAATGTTATGGGAAGGATCTGAAGGACTGTATAATTACGAATGAATATTATCAAGTCATTCTGGGCTGGATTGAATGCTCTCCAATGACTCTCCAGCACTTTTATAATCTTGCAGGAAGAAGCTTAAAAACTCCCCTGAAGTGCCGATACAGTTTGTCATCCTGCAATACTGTGCATGACTCCATCTTAAGGACACAACAGATCTCACTTTAGGGAGCAGCAGTGTGATACTCTTGCAAGAATTGTCTTCATGTATCTCAAAGCCTGATAAATTTGTCCACTCTCCAGCAGTGACCTCTTTGAAGGCCACTTGTGAACTATATATATATGGTATTACAGGTTACACAAATTAAATTTATCATAGAGCCCATTTTTTCTTCACAGAGTCGAGCAGAAAGCAGTAGCTCTATATATCCATTACTGAGCCAGCTGCAGATATTGTCTGAAGTTGAAGCAGCATCTGCCTCTCTTAGTGATATCCACTACCCTGATAAGGTTTGAAAAATTAGTTATGTATTCCTGGTAGAGAAAATATCTTCTGATTTTGCCTTAGTTTACCCCATGTATTGAAAATGCCTCATTGTACTGACTTGAAACTTAAAATGCCTTTGAACATAAGTTAAAGCTTACTATTGAAATTGGGCACTGTAGCTCCTTTGTGTTTTTGGAACCAATTTTTATCCTGATAATGTTCATTTCAATTTTGTGACAGCACATATAAGTCAAACTGGAACATTCTGCAGCAGAAGATAATGTGATGTATCTTTAGTTGATTTTACAGGCTTAGACATTATCTGCAGGAGCTAATTTTATATAGATTTCAAGTTTTAACTCTTTCATGGTACTGTACCATATTTCCAGTATCATGTTAGATAATTCATCACTAAATTAGCCAAATTAAAATGTCTTATCTTTCTAGTGGTACATGGTTTAGTGGTGCTTTCTAGTAGAGGTACATACTTCAATGATCTGAAGTTCACCTTAATTGCTTATTAGTTTTTTTAAGAATCATTCTATAAATAATATATATTGTTAAATGCTTTCAACTTTTATCATCTCCCTTCCTGTTTCTACAGGGTTTGGTAGATAGTTCAAACAGTTGAGGATGGTAAACAATAATAGTGCTTCTGTAGGGCAGATGACTATTTTCTTTGTATATGCAGTACAGTAAATTGAGAATACAATCCATTTCCATTTTATACAAGAAAGGAGGTGCAAATAATACATACAAATATGTACTTTTAACTTCAAGATTATTCAGGAGCTGCATTCTTTCTACAATAAAGTATAGATTTACAATTTTGTATTATTTGTTTATAATACACAGTAATGAGCTCATAATTTTGTAATATTTCTTCTCTCTTTTTTGTTCAGTTTAAGATAAGCATCCAAAATTTAGAGCATATGTGGAACTCTAAGAAGACTATGGCAAATGTTGAGTACAAATATAAAGAACCTATTTTGGCTGCTAGAATATCCACTCTTAAAACTATAGCAGCAGTCCACAATGAAGAAAATGTTAACAGAATTCTTCACACATCTCTGGTATGTATTGGTGTATTTTCTAACATACATTTTGCATTATATTTCTAAGCCTAAGCTTCTCAACCACTCCCATAAGCAAGTCCTACTGCTTTCAAGGCCTTGTTACATGTAGCCAAAGTAAGAATGACCTTATCTTTTTCTTAGTGAGAAGACATTGGAGGAAGTCTCAATCTATCCTTCAATTACTGTGAGAAGGTACAGTATATTTCCTTACACTTTAGACAATTTTATCAAAACAATACTTGTAAACCAAAATGTAAAGTTATGCACACACATACTATCCAGGTCCAGGTACATACTACCAGAGGAAACATCTAATGTGCGGCCTCAGTGCATTGCAAGCATGTGATCCTTGTTTGGGGTTGAGCCTGATGTTGCTTGCACAAGTTGCCAGATGTCTGAGAGTTTGATGGCCACTTGTGTTCTTTTCAAAACTTCTGTTGGGTGCAGGGCCATTTTCACTCTGGTGCATTCTTTGTGTCAGGAGTGGACAGCAACTGTGCTTTACGTGCTTGTCCAACCCGTTCTCGCAAATTTAATAAGTCAATATTGACTTATTATATATGTGCATAGGTGACATACTTAACATAATAAATACCCTTAAAAAGATTCATAGAAAACACCGACCTTACCTAACCTTGTTAGTATCTTAAGATAAGCATCTTATTGCTTCGTAATTACAATTATTACCTAACCTATAATAGGTATAGGTTAAGTAATAATTGTAATTACGAAGCAATAAGATGCTTATCTTAAGATACTAACAAGGTTAGGTAAGGTCGGTGTTTTCTATGAATCTTTTTAAGGGTATCTATTATGTTTAGTATATCACCTATGCACGTAGTTAATAAGTCAATATTGACTTTACGAATTTGCGAGAACGGGTTGGCTTGTCACATGCTAAAATATCACTGTATAGATCCTCAGCTGAGGACGTGATTGTGAACCTCCCTCTTTTCATTTGTGTGGATTTAGGCTTTCTGGTCAGGTCAACCTGCCAGTCTAATGCCTAGGACAGAAAGGCTGCTGCTTTCTTTCCCTCTCTAGTTGCACTGGATGATCTGTCAGTGGTTGTGTACCAATTGGCTTCCAGCTACTGCCACTTACTGTCGGTTTATTCTTTTAGGACATGGGTGCCTTTGCCACTTCAGACAGGGTTACCTTCGCCAAACCCACAGTTGGAGCCATCAACTACTCTTGCATAAGCAGGAATTTTTCAGCTTCTTTCTCCATAGCAGAAGAGTTAGAAGCTTCTGGATACTGGCTTGGCCCGAAATGTTGCTCCTGGGCATGGCTCATTGGCTGACCAATCCTCTTCTCTGGTGTGAAAATGCAATTTGGTTGAAGGTGTTGATGGCAAAGGATGCAGCATAGTTTTCCCTTAACCCTTCTTGTGTTTTGTGATCAGGGAGGTGTCTTTGTAAGAGTTCATCTTTCTTTCTTAAAGGGACCACAATGGTTCCTATTATTATTATTATTATTATTAAAATTCTGCACCTACTCCTAGATCTTTGACTTCACTGTCTTCAGGATGATTGTATGGTGTTGGGCTGGCTCTCTTCTAGCTAGGCTACATTCCAGGTGGAAGAGGGGGTCAGCACCTAACTGTCTTGTTTCTAGGTCTGCAATTCTCATTATTTTTCCTGCTGCTTCAGGGCCTCCTATGTGGTCAGAGTAAGTGTACCATTTTCTGCATTGTTAATAGAGTTGCATATTTTCATTTGGCCATCACAAATCTTGCCTAAGGAAATGACCAAGAAACTTACCCATTTATTCTTGGCTTTCCCTGTGCCTTTCCTTGTAGATGAAAGGCTTGCTTATAAGTATAAGAAAGAGTTGATTGTGAGGTATGATTACTGGCTGGAGTTTCTATATAGGTCTATGCTATGACTTTGTGGTAGGTTGTAGCAGCATTTTTGGAGGCAACTGGTAGTGTTTTGTATTGTTAATGTGCAGAGTTTTACTTGACATTTAATTTCAAGTATTGCTTTGATGTGTGTGTTGTTGAAAGTAGAGGAATGTGCCTTCTAATTGATATTTAGGACTGGATTGAAAATTCTCCAGTGTCTTCATTCCTCCTTATATGGTTGGCCAGGAACATTTTCAATGATTCCTATTGGAAATAGGTCAGCCCGGGCTAGAGGTAGCCAGGGTGTTGGCTAAGTGAGGCTTGAATACAACAGTGACAATGGGACCAGCTCAGAATGAAATGCATTTATCTACCTACATTCCTTATTTTTTACTGAAGGCTCATAACAGAAAGCATAAATTTATGAAAATAAGTAAGTATTGGGTGCTTATGTTGGACTATACTTTTTGTCTGGTTTCCAGTTGACCAAGAGTGTGCTGTCACGTGAAAATATGAAGTTAAATAACAGCTCAGGAAGTGAGTCGGCCCTATTATGGGCATCACGATTAAAACTTCCCCAAACTTTGGTTTGGATGACACGCCTAGAAGAAGCACAAGTAGCAAAGCATCAGCAACACACAAAACATGCTTCAGATATTCTCAATTCGCTTATAGAGGATCTGCATAAGGTAAGAATTTATGAACTGCTGTATGGAAAGACATCAGGGCATGGAAAATGCATCCTAGAGGCATCTTTGGATGTAATGAATCCTTCACTGCAAAGAATTGGGGTTGATCTCATATAATTCATTGAATCAAGGTTGTGCTGTATACTGTACATATATCGGTCTTTAAAATAATTTTCATTCATATATTTATGGTATGTTAAGTATAGTATAGTATATATAATTATTAAAACTGCATTATCTAATTAAATATTGACAAAGGGCTAATTATCATTTATGTTAATACAGGTGAATCTGGAGAGTGAAGAGAAAATAATAGTGTGCCAGGCCCTGAACCTTTATGGCTGTGTTCTAATGGATTCAAGGGCCCGGGCTCCCCATGACATCATCCAGGATTTTTTCAACAAAGCTATTGGCATTTTAAATTCTTCAGAGGGTAAGGACGCATTTTATGTTCGTTAAGCAGGAGGGGAGCAAGTAATATATAAAGTATGGGATTATAGACTCCTGTCATGGCTGCTTGACCTTACAGTGGAATACACTGTAAGGTACATAAACCTTACAGTGTATGTACACTTCTTATACACTGGTATAAGAAACATTCACACATTAGAATTGCCCAGTTCCCACTTTCATGATGTTGGAAACCCAAGCCAGAACAAAAAGTGAACAATGAAGTAAAGGAAGCTTATAGACACTAAATAGTAAATCATTAAAAATATAACTTGTCCATTCGTAGCATCATTCACAATACTGTACGACATTGAGCATCATTCGTAAATAAGCACCTACACTTGCAACTTCATAGGACCAGGTGTAGGGCAAAATTTGAGGTGATATTGGACACTGAAGAAAGTTATTGAAGTTCAAGGGGGGATCTAAAAATTATTTATTCTTTGTTAAGTTTATTAGAAAACTTGTTGTCTAGTCAAAAGAGGAGACACTATTCTTTAAAATGATACCAGAATGGATAATACACACACAATATCCAGAGAGGTATTAACCATAAAATGGCAGTGTTCCAAATTACATTGCTTGCCAGGTTTCTGGATTACTTGTGATGTGTGGTGTACAAGATATGGTGATTGGACTGGTGTCATTTAAAAAAAATTTAATCTTTAATATTTGTATCTTTCTTTTCCTGTATTGCTTGTCTATTTTGTATGGGGGGTGATGCCGTCCCACTCCACGAAAATAAGAAGTTGATAATAATGAGGATAATTATTATTAAAGAGTTATCTACAATATTTAATTTGTATATTTTGTATAATTTTTCTTTTTGTATATAGCTCCAGACACAAGCAAAGTTTTAGAAGATAGCTACCATCAGTTGGCGACATACGCAGACAAGCATTATCGGGAGGTTCACCAGCATCTGGAGTCTGATGCTATACAAACAAAGAGAGAGACTATCAAAAGATCACAGGAAGAACTTACTCAAGTAAAGAATCTTCGTAGCAGAACTAAAGTGCCTTTGGAATTAACAGAATTAAGCAAGTGAGTAAACACATCACATGAATTAATATTTTTGGCACTACTGTATTTCCATGTTATTTCTTAATGTAGTTAATGTATCTCTGGAAACACTGTCAGTATGGCAACTGCAGTAAAGCTTTATATGTTTATGCCACCGTTGTGAATGTTTTGAGGTTATTAAGGGATGAAAGTTCAAGGTATGGTTTTAGGTTGAACTGTATCAAGATGATGATTCTGTAACATCCCAGTTACATATGTAATTTTTTATATTAATAATACTTCCTTATTTACAGGAAGATTAATATACTTGAAAAGAACATCAAAATAGACTGTAATAAGTTATGTGAACTGGAGGACCAGAAGGAAGAATATCTCTTCTTGGCCATGGAAAACTACCTTAAATGTGTCATGGTCTCAACAGAACATGAAATGCACATCTATCGAATTGTTGGTCTCTGGTTGGAGAATCTTACAAATGAAAGGATCAACAGATTGGTAAGTGTAATTGCATAAATATATCAAATAAGTAGAATATATACTATTTCTGGGTAATCCCCCTACCAGGGACAGTCATCTTACCACAGCAGGGAGAGGATGTGGGGCTCATAGATTGGCCCACTACTAAGTTGAAAAGCTCTTTCAAAAGACATAATGAAGTAAAAAAACACTCCATCTCTGTTTAAGGAATGTTTAGCATATTTCAAATTGCCAAACAAAGCTAACAAAATTTAATAAGGTGCACTGAGAAAGGTACCTTTTTTGTACCTAACAAGGTACAAAAGAAAGACTTTTTCCAAACAGAGTGGTAGATGGTTGGAACAAGTTAAGTGAGAAGGTGGTGGAGGCCAAAACCGTCAGTAGTTTCAAGGCATTATACAACAAGGTACTGGGAAGACAAGACACCACAAGTGTAGCTCTCATCCTGTACCTACACTTAGGTAATTACATCTAGGTAATTATTGACCCCTCACTGATTAAGACCCCAATACAGTAACTGGAAGCTCCAGATAACTCAAGACACTCATTCCATAATCACTCTTATTTTATCTTATTCTCTCTCTATTTAGAAAAGGCAAATGTAGTTGCAGTATTGAAGAAAGGGAACAGATATGAAGCCTATGCAACTATATATATACTAAACTCTATACTGTACAATTGGCATTAACAGCATTTTATGCAAGATTGTAGAAAAAGTCATCAGAAAAAGAATCATAGAACATTTGGAAAGAGTAGGATTCGCAGGAAGTTTTCGGAGAACTCGCACAAGCATGTTCACTGGGCTAAGCTTGTTGTTAATAATGGCGTCTCTTCCTCACCGCTTTAGGGACGCGTCCACTAGCACGGTTTTAAATCTGTCTTTATCGACTTAGGGAAGTAGACCTTGGTTTTATTTACATTTTAATTATATCCAGTCAAGGGTTACACTTTTTTTATTGTTTCTAGTGCCCGACTGGCAGTTTAAAGATTATTGAGTATAAATTTTATAGGTAAATAGGAATTTGGTGACATGGCAAGATTTCATCCTAATTTCTTTGTATGGTTAATTAAGCTATTTTAGGGTTAGTTTTAGTATTTGCCTAACATGATTGTGTTTGCTTAGTATGTTAGTAATTAGTATTTAGTGTTGGAATTTCTGACAGATGGAGATGTAAGTAGGGGTAACAGGAAAGGCACTGGACTGGGTAATGGAGTACTTGACAGACAGGAAACAAAGGATCATAGTCAGATCATATGTCTGGCTGAAGAGAAGTGAACAGGGCTCTGTCTTGGGACCACTGCTATTTTTAATTTATGTAACTGCCTTTGCAATGGAAGTGAGTTTGTACCTGTCAATATTTGCAGATGATGCAAAGTTAATGAGTAAGAACTGAAGAGGACTTTAGGGTGTTGCAAGGAGACCTTAACAAACTTAAGGGGGCGTCTGGTTATTATAATGAAAGTTGTTCAATGTCAACCAATATTATTTTTCTAGTTGTATATGAAAAGTGCTTAAATTGTCCCAAGTTTCAGTACTGCAGCGTAAATAGAAAGGGAGTTTTTTTTTTTTTTTTTTTTTTTTGAACGTTTTTTACACATTTTCAAGTCCACACTTCAGAACACACGTTTCAGATAAAATTATTCTGTGACACTTTTCTGACACATTAGCATATAATAAAGGATTTGGGGATTTAGAATTTCCAAAACATCTTTAGTTTTCCTAATACAAATGTTCAAAGTTCCCCAAAAATTTTTTGCAAATATGGCATGTTTATTGCTATTATAAAATCAATAAATGAACTTAGAGAAAAATGAAAGCCCCCCAATGTAGAGACATGCCCTCCACATATACTGTGTAAGTTTCATGTAAATTGAATAAAAAAAGAATGAGTTTTGTAAACGTTTGTGTCAATTGAAAAAAAAACAGAAATGAATAAAGTCTAAGGTTCTAAAATCTGTTGCTGGGGTTAACATCAACCAATTTTCTCCAAAATTGACATCCTTACAGATAGGCTTACGTACAGTCAGGTGTTTAAGTTTGATGCAAATCGCCCCCAAAAAAAATGAAAAAAAAAAATATTTAAAAAAAAAAAGAAAAATCCTTTTTTTTTTTTTTTCCTTAAATTTTTTTTCCAATTAAACTAATAATAATATTTGTTTAATATATGCTATTGTGATAGCAAAGAGTTGTAGTTATGATTTCAGTTGACACTTTTGATTGATAATCGATTTTGACCATTTTTGCATAATTTTCACAACTACTTCAATATTTTTTTTCTCCCTTCCTATTTATGCTACAATGCTGAAACTTGGACCAGATGAAACACTTTTCATATAGAACTTGTCAAAAAAGTTTGGTTGAAATCGAATGAGTTTTCATTTTTGCATTTTTGGACCCAGAAGCCAACCAGACGCCCCCTTAAGGAGTGGGTAGATAAATGGCTGTTGGAATTCAATCCAAATAAGTGCAACATAGTAAAAATAGGTAAGGGAGACTAGAGACTTGTATTTACTATACCATAAGGGGAAGGTGCTTACAAGAAACAATAAGAGAAAAAGACCTGGGGTAGACATAATTTCAATACAAACAACACCAGCTCATTACACACAGAAATCACAATAGTGTGATGCATCAAATGAACAAATCCACAAGGGCCGAGATGAGGGTTTGAACCTACGTTCGAGAGGATCCCAGACGCTGCCTTGATCAACTGAGCTACGACATGGTAAAAGAATTGCAACCGGGAAATCATCCTGACCTACCAACGGATCCTGCAGTCTCGGAGAGACTCTTACATTCCTGCAGAATACTCCTAAAGGAGTATTCTTTTATCATGTCGTAGCTCAGTCGATTAAGGCAGCGTCTGAAATCCTCTCAGACGTAGGTTCGAACACTCGTCACGGCCCTTGCGTATTTGAACACCAGCTCATTTTAATAGAGAAAACATCAGCAGCACATGGAAAGTTAGCAAACCTACGATTTTATAACAAAACATTTTATAACATACAAAATAACATGACACCTTAATTATGTATACTGTATAATGAAAAATAATGAGTGCTTAGAGCTTAGAAGAAAGCTTAACAGCCATTTTTGTTATCAGCTTCAGGCACCTGTTTTGTAGGTCAAAGGCCTTTGATAAACATTTCACCAGATGGAAACATTTTCTTGGTACATGAACTGAGATGGCATATTACAGCATGGGGTCCTATTACCTTGATTTGACCAAAGTCCTAGTTTAGCGAAAGGGGTTAAAGGAGTAAAGCTTAGAGCAGTGTGATCAGATCTTGGCTTTATCGAGAGAAGTCTTGGCTCTGGAGGAAGGTTTATTCTTTTTTTTTCTTTTTTTTCTTTTTTATAGATGGAAATTAATTTATTTGTTGTCTTTATAAATAATGTTTCATTTGACTTGACCTTTTCACAGAAAAAAGAAAAGTATCTTAACTCAAAACTTTTCTTTAACACAGGTTTTAGACCATGGTATGAAAATGAGTAGCTACCATTTTGTTCCTCTACTGTACCAGCTTGTAGCAAGACTAAGCTGCCAGAGAGATCAGCACAAATCCTTCTTACAAGTCCTATTGTACTTGTTACGTAAGTTCATTTATCTGTGGCATGAAAGTGTCTCAAAATTTTATTATTTACATGGAATTTTTCCGTGTAAATATGAGGCTCGCGTTCTCCCTAGTAAATTTGATTGACTGATGAAAAACGAATTCTGATCTCTTACCATTGCTGGTGTCCTTGGGAGGTCGAGATGTTGGGTATAAACCCCTGAGTTTCAATCTCTTTTAAGGATCTGCGTGGTGGAATGGTCAGAGTACTGGTTGTCTTGGTGTGCGCCTGGCCTTCTAAGTTCGAGTCTCTTGCAGGGGTGGAGCCCTTTTTGTGTGTGTGTGCATATATTCATGAATTGTCATATGTAGTCTTGTACAAAGAATTAGTTCACTTGCTCCTTTCAACTGTTTCCACCCAGCCTTGTGCTTTACCATATCCTCTGTGTTATTCATACCCAATCCACACTGCCTCATGTTCTTCAGGAAAGAAAAAGATACAACCAGATGGGCATGGAAAGGGTACAGGAACTTGGGCATGGAGATCAACATGGGAGTAATAAAGAGAGCCAGAATCAGTAAAGCAGCAGAGTAACAATTAAAAAATGACATCCATAAAAGCAAATGAAAAGTCAAATTTGTTGCAGAGTGACATTTGAAGCAAAATGGTACAAGATCATCTGATCATCCTATTGTACAGTAGTGACAAAGTGGTATGTGAGGAACTCAACAAGGCTTTAAAAGATCTAAAACAAAAGTTAAAATGGAGACAGGGGTGGGAGATGGCACTTCAAAGAGCAACATTTACTCAAACACTTATGTCTGCCACCAGGTGACAGCCTCCGTCACTGAAAATTCCATCTGACAGCTTCCTTCACTCTTTGAGTTGCAGCGTTCAGCACCAGTCATGCAGGAAATCAATAAATATAGGTTGGGAGTAGTGAACTAATGTAGTACCACTCAGAATGAGGCATTTCATTACACACTCAACTCTATTTCTCAGCTGGTCCCTTCAGTAGCTTCCCGGAGCTTACTCCTAATTACGCCTTGGAGAGAGAAAGAGAGAACACTTTCCTGAAAATGTGTGACTTTTCTTAGCATAAATAATAATCACTACAAATTATCAACCACAATGTGTCTAAACATGTTATTTTAATTGTATAATTAATATTTTTTGTTTGTAATTTATTTCACATTATTGTACTGTATAATTCTGGCTTTGCAGAGCGAGTCTGTGTGGAACACCCCCACCACAGTTTACCTGTCATCATCGCATTGGCCCATGCCCATGCTGATGATGACATAATGAAAAATGGTAGTAAAAGTAAGAAGCAAAGGAATGAAGTTAAGGAAGAGGTAAGCTGCTTAACGACAACTTCACTATATTATGTAGATTCATTATGGTTATATCTTGCTTATTATGTACAGTGTTCATTTTTCCATCAGTTCTTATTCAGGCATATCTAAAGGGTGCTACAACAGAGTGCTTTAAATTAACATGCAAGTATTTTTGTATGATTATGTTCCTTAGATAATATGGCCTAAAACATCTTGAAACTAATGTGTAAAATGTTAGGGAGATGGTACCATTAGAAACTTTTGCCATAACAATTTTTTTTGCACATGTAATAAGTACAGTACTCATGCATATGTTGCTTTGTGGCGAAAGATTTTGGTGTAAATCTTAACATAAATTTCACAAATTACACAAGTGTGGGTTTTTATCCTAATATACTGTGTAGTATTTTGCTTTTGCCATGATTTGATGTAAACTTTAAAATTTACTCTCCTAGGATCGTGTACGAGCGGCTAAACTGCTAGTAAGCCGGTTGAAGAAAACGGCTATTGCAGAGCATGTGGCTGAATTTGAGACAGTTTCCCATGCATACCTTGAACTAGCCAACTGGTCTTGTAACATGAAACTGTCTCCTGGCACCAAGGTAGTACTATACTTAAGTATATTTTTAGAAACTCATTTTACGTTTTTTCTAATGGTGAGCTGTATAAATGCTGTATTGCTTGATTACCACCATATTTTATTGTATTAAATTTGCAATTAAGCATGCATCATCTATTCTTTCTTTCATGAACGGGATACATTCTAAAGTAGTCCATTTATTATTAATTTTAATTTTACTCCAGTTCCAATACAGTGAGTAGACAGTTTAGGGGGGGGTAGAAATAGCCTAAGCTACTCTATCCCTTTGAGATGTATTTATTGCTTATCTCAATAAACATACTTGAACTTGAACTTGAGTAGACAGCTTCTTCCACATGTACTGGAAAGATTAAGCTAAAAGAATTTTGTTTAAATGAGGTGTTATTCCCAAGGGGGATACTCAGTCAGGAGATGAGATAAAAAAAAAAGCAGACAAGGTTGAGGTGCTACTGTATTAGGGAGAGAAAATTTAAATGTAAAAGAAATGATCTCTGACAACCCATGGGCTGTGGACATGTTGGCACTCGAGACATACAGCTGGAAAGATAAAAAGAGTACTGATCAGTGCCTCCAATCCAATAGCAAACATCACATAGACAAAGGAAGAAATAGACAACAAATTAGATTCTTACAGTGAATTTGAGAATTTGGTAGGTAAAGCAGATAGAAATATAGCTCAGTTGATAGGACTTGGAGACATATAATGTGAATACAAAAGATGGGTAACCCTTACAATATATGGACAGAAGATGTCTGGGCTGACAGGTTCATGAACCTTTTCCTGGAGGCATTGGTGTTTTCAGCATGTTGTTAAACACCAACAAAAATGATGCAAAGGAATATTACATTATTTACCTGGAATGAAGGAAGAAATTTTTGATGTACAGTACATGCCTCCAATAGGTTACAGTGACCATGTACCCTTAAAAGTAAAATACTGTACTCAGTATGCTATAACATAGAAGATGATAGAGAAAGTAAGACAACAGAGAAACTGTACTTTAAGAAGGACAGTATGAGAATCTAAGATAAATTCTTTATTGGAATAGACTGGAATAGTTTGTTGTTAGGTAAGGAAATAAAATTATATGTACAAAATAGATATATGCCAATTTTTACGAGATGTATAAAAAAGGCACCCAAACATTTATAGTAAAATGGGGAAGCAAATACTACATAGAAAATAAGACTGGTTTAATAAGAGTTGCGAGAGGGCTGGAGAACAAAAAAAAAAATGGAATCAATATAGGAAGAGGTCAAACCCAAAAACATAAAAGCAATACAAATAGGCAAGTAACATATACAGTACACAGCAGTGAGAAGAGTGGTAGAAAGAAACTTACTTTGAGAATACCAGACTAATGTAAAACAAAACCAGGCCTGTTCTATAAATTCATAATGGGCAAGTTGCATGTAAAGGATAAAATCTAGAGGTTGAAAATACGGAACTGATTCACAGAAAACAAAAAAGGAAGCCCGGCCATTCTCAATCGACTTGAGAATGGTCCAGGACGGACCGAAACGTCGTCGTCCCTTCACCTTCTAGTGTGTGGTCTGGTCAACAAAATGGAAATGTGAGAGACACTAAGTGAACAGTTCCAAAGTGTGTTTGTGCAAAATAAGGTTTTCAGAGAACTAGACACATTACAGATTTCAGAGCACAACATAAAGTTCATAAAAGAGTCTTAAGACACAAGAAAAATTTATCAAGGAGCTAGGAAGAAACAAAGCAGTAGGCTCAGATGGAGTCTCACTTTATATTCTGAGGAAATGTTCACCCGAGTTGAGCATTCCAATACAGTTAATTTTCAGGCATCCTTAAGTACAGGAAACCTAGCAGATATATGGAGAAAGCAAACACAGTTCCAATCTACAAAAATTGTAGCAGAGAAGACCCTTTACATCATATTATTGACAAGTATGGTAGTCTAATCGCTAGAAAAAATAAGTTAAATTAAATGAGTAGAAAGCCTGAAAAGAAATTATGATCAGAATTGAGGTCGGAATCCACGATTCTGACCTCCTGGGATTCAGGGAATGAATCACTAGGGAGCAGTCGGAAGGAAGCCAGAGGACGAAGCTTGGAGGAAGAACTACATGATAGCACATCAGTGATGCGACTGACTGGATGATGGCTGGCAGTCAGGAGCTCCATGATGTCACCTGTGGGTGACCATTTGCACTAGGGAATTCGAGCTAGTTTCAAGTGAAACAGTTGTTTTGAGTGAATCATTTCTAGAGTTGTTTAGCTTTCATTGCTTAGTTTCTCTGAATCTTGCAGTTATCTGTATTGCTTTGCCCCCATGGAAGATCCCTCTGGTGAAAATTTGCAGGACCCTAACCCACATGGTGAAGGCTTCTTTTCCCCCTCAGATTCCGTTGCTCTGATGGGTCTAAGTCTGCCAACGGTGCTGGCTACTCTGTTGTTTTCCCTAACTTGATCTATATATGTCGCCTACCCCCAGAGGCTAGCATCATCATGGCAGAACTTTATGCCATTTTATATGCTCTGTCAGTTGTTTTTTCTATGCAATATTACCTTCCCTTTGACTCTGAGTGGTCAAAGAGTGTAGTTGACTCTGAGTGGCCTCATGGCTTTGGAATCTTTTGACCCTTTGCATCCTGTGGTAACCAAAATCCAGTATTGGCTGTTTCTTATTTTTTACCAGGTATAAGACAGTCAAATTTTGCTGGGTTCCCGCTATATTGGGATTCCCTTGAATGAACTCGGTGATATTGCTGCTAAGGAGACCATTCATAGTTGAAACATTTCCCAGAAAGCGGTTCCTTATTCAGATGTCTACCCAATCATTCATGCTGCTATCCATAACCATTGGCAGAGTCATTGGGTTGGCGTTGCAGGTAAAAAAGCACACGGTTATTAAACTGTGTGCTCTTAAGTATGACCTATTCCTTTGGCCTTCCTCCTGCCAACATAATCAGCATTGAGAGACAGTTTTGGCTAGGTTATGTATCGGTCACACCTACCTGACTTATGGTCACTTAATGGAACAGTATCCTGCTCTCTCCTGTCCTGATAGTGTTGTCCCACTTACAGTCCTACACCTTGTTGATTGCCCTGATTTTAAAGATGTTTGAGTGTCTTGCATTCCTGATGTTTCTCGTGGTCATTGTTCTCTAGTTAGTATCATCTGTGATTCCGATACCTTTGATATCATTCACCTTGTGTCCTTCTGTTCTCTTATTGGCATCCTTAAAGATATTTAGCACCTTCTGAATACTTTACAAATTAGAAGGTGCTATGTAGTCTTCCTGGCTTGGTGCCTTCTTTGATAATTACTTGCTTACCTAAGGGAGCAATCAAGTGATTTTCTTAAAAAGAATCGTATCATTTATATTCAGAATTTTATTTTTATTATAGTTTATTAACTGTAGTTGTTGTACGGTTTATTATGCTGTGATGAACTTATTTTACTTTTTCTCCTTTTTAACTCTCAGGTATCTGTTCCTGACAACCAGCCCTTAGCTTCTCTCCGTAATCTGAAGTACACTTCTGCTTTAACTCGGCCATTGAAGCTGCAGCCATCAGCTCACTACTCCCCACCACTAATTGTTGGCTGGGAAGATACGTGCACATTCGTTGGAGGAATCAATGCCCCAAAACGACTTACAATAAAAACATCTGATGGACTGAAGCAGTTTGAGCTCCTCAAAGGAAGAGATGATATCAGGCAGGATGCTGTGATGGAACAGGTAATGTTTAATAAATCTTCATAATTTGTGTATGTGTACCCACCCAATTGTGCATGCAGCGGTCGAGCTTTGGCTCTTTGATCCTGTCTCTCAACTTTCAATCAACTAGTGTACGTTCCTGAGCCTATTTGGCTCTATTATATCTACATTTGAAACTGTATTTGGAGTTTGCCTCTAACACATCACTTCTTAGTGCATTCCATTTTAAATTCCATTTGTTAACTACTCTGACACTAATCACAAGAAACGTTCTTTCTAATGACCTTGTGACTCGCTTGGGTGCTTAGTTTCCACCTGTGCACCCCTTGTGTTAAATAAACTGTCTTTATCTACCCTATCAATTCCTCTGAGAAACTTGCATGTTGTGATCATGTCTTCCCTAACTCTTCAGTCTTCCAGCAATATGAGGTTTAGTTCCCATAATCTCTTACTGTGTTTCTGTGTATAGTATGGTTTAAAGTAATGTCACATGCACTATAGGCTTACTATATAAATTTAAGCCATGTAGTCATCTTAGTAAGTTTTGATAATTAAGGTGGTGTATAATAAAAATGTTAGAATCGTGAATTAATAGAGATATTTGGTAGTTATTCGTTATAGATTATTGTTATACTATATGTATTTGCTTTAAACATTTTAATAAATAATTTTCATTCAGAATCCTTGGTGTGGATGCTTTATGGCTTTGTTTATTGTTGGTTGATACCTTTAGGTATCCATTTGGTATCTAAAGAATTCATCAAGTTCCCTTTTTCAGGGTATCAGTCTTCTCGAGTCTTATTATTAAATATTTTTTTGTTAGTTTTATATCATTAGCAACATATGAATGAGCCATTTACCTATCAGGTCATTGACATGTACAGTACAGTGTCGGGAACATGATAGCTCCTTGTACTGTACTGGCCTCTTGTGGTACTCCATTTGTTACCTCTGTGTATGCCTTTGCTTCTTTCCTGAAAGGTACTTGCTCACCCAGTTCAGCTGACAAGTGAGGTTGCTGGCTCCTCAGACCCTGTTCCTGTTGTGAAAGTAATTCTGTCTCTTGGTGGCATTTGGAGTAGCAGTTGATTGTTGAGCTTGTCTAGCTGAAAGAGAAGCCCACTTGGGTGATGGTACTTTTGGCACGGGGTTTGTTGGTAAAAGGGAAGGGGTTTTCTTATCCCCTTATTATCGTTTTGATTCACCTACCTTTCTGGGTCCTAACTTGGTCGATGTTCCTGCTAGGCATAAGAACTCCTGTGACTGATGACTCCAAACTAATATAGCAAATATCAGTTCGGATAGCTTCAGGGCGCCTCGGGGCTTGCCCAGAAAATAGCGTTTCATTACATTCAGCGCTGGTTTTTTACTGCTAAGTTAGGCCTTTATCAAAACTGTAAATTGTGACAAACTTTTCATCATACTTTTATATCATATTTTAATTTTCTGATTATTTTGTTTTTGTTCACACCAGCTGTTAGTGAGAAAATTGCCTAGTAATATTTTTTATCTCGATAGGTGTTCAGGATTGTCAATCAGCTCCTAAACAAAAACAGAGAAACAAGAGAACGAGCATTATCCATGCGTACATACCAAGCTGTCCCATTATCACAAAAAAGTGGACTAATTCAATGGTGCAACAATACTCAGGTAAAAGTATTTTAATTTATCACATGCAATATATGTAGGTACTTTGTATAGGGAGGCATATATAACCCTGTTTTATTATTATGATCACTGCTGCCACTCCACTTCTCACTTGAATGAATATTAAAAGCTTTCTGAGAAAGACTTAGACCACTAAGGCAAGGTTTTCTGGTATACTTTGGCTAGATTGTGCCAGTCATAGCAGGGGGGACATTTTACACCGGTGCAACAGGGAATTTTTAAATGTTTGCAGTTGAACATATTGGTACATGGGAGGCATAGTTCATTACATTTGCTGTTGTTTTAGATTCAACTACTCAGAAAAAAATTCCATGTAGCACCGGCTATAATGAGCCCGTAAAGTTCATTGTAGCTTTGTGTGACTGGATGGTGATTTACTTATAAATACTCAAAAGGCCTTAGTTCTACTTGGCATCTCATGGATTTGCAAAGTAGTACTCTTAGTTAAATGCATTTGGCCTACCCAGCCACTATCTCCAATCACTGGCAGATGGCAGCACCTATACTAACACAAGGAAAGGAAAGAGACTAGGGAATGAATGTGTGACAAGATCATCCCTCAGAAATACCACCCTCTGGAATGGAACAAGCTCATTGGGCAACTCTACCCCTCCCTTCCCCAGCAAGACACCAAGCAGCCCAATAGAAACATGTAGAATAAAAATTTGATATGCAAATGGCATTACAAATAAAGAGGTAGAGCTGGAAGAACAGGTAGTAGAACTACATGCTCATATTATCGCAATTATGGAGACAAAACTGACAAGCACATTAGAAGATACAATATTCCCAAGAGGATACCCAGTAGTAGGAAAAGAAAGGGTAAATAGGTAAAGAGATTGAGTAGCCCTACTGATATAACAACAATGGAGCTTTGAGAGAGAGAGAGAGAGATTGAGATTCCAGAAGTAATGAACCAGCAAGACTTCACACTAGGTAAGATAAGAGTGAGAACCATGAAGATAGTGGCAGGTGATATTTACAACCCTACATTAACTGCAAGAAGGTCAAAGGAGGAATATGATAAATACAGCAAAACATGCCTGAGGATAATAGAAAAGGCAGCTACAGTGTTGAGCTCCAAGAGCTGGTCAGCTCTTCCACATATTGCCCTAAGGAACACAGGAGGAACATTGAGTCTTGCTTTAAGAACCTGCTCATCCTGCACATCGATGAGCATATACCATAGGTGCTTGGGATCTGGATGAAGTGAAGGCTGGTGGTAAGACGAGCTTTCCAGTCGACTCGCTAGTAACCAAAGCACTCAAAGGCAAGGCTCAAACAGAGCCCTTCATATCTTATGGCACTAACTCACAAATGATCTGAAAAAGAATGGCTAAATTTCCCTCTGAAAAAAGGGAATCTTGCAAAATCTCCACAGAAGGTAAGAACCAGGACCAACAATGCTGATATTAAGTGCACAACACTGAAGCTTGGCAGCCACTACATAAGTGAACTTGCAAACAAACTTGCAAAAGTTTCAACAGGGTTGAAGCACACCTAAGTATAGTACAGTACTGACCTGATAACAAGCAGTGTGGTGACAGAAAGGGTGCTGTTGTAATCATAGAACTACAGGCTGTTCCCTACCTTGATGCACCAAGCAACAGTTCGTCCATGATTGAACTGAATCATTATAAGGAACAGCACCGAGTGGCAAACGATCAGTCACAACCAGTAAAAAGTCACCAGACATTTGGCACATGTGAGATGGGTCGTGGGGAGGCCTGGGAAAAGGGCTACAGTTTTGGCTGACCCTAACAGAACCCTTTATAACTCTTTAAGACAAGGAAGGGCAAGAGTAGCTTTTGACTGAAACAAAACAAAAATAAAAGTAACCATAGAGAATTCAGTAGTAGAGACTGATGGAGGGAGGCACCTTGCTCACACACACAACCAACTCAGTAGATATGAGCAGGAGCTGCCCCATATGGGCCAAAAGACCTTTGGTAGTTTACTTTATTCTTATAATTTTATATAGTGCCCATCACAGATGTCTAGTCCTGGAACCAAACACTAAGGAATTGTAAATTTACTTGAACCTCAAGAAAAGCCCAATGATTTAGCACAAACCGACCTGAAACAGAAGACTTAAGGTCACTAGCTGGTAAAGTCACAAAGCACAAAAACTTGTTATACTCACACAAGATGCAGTTCAATTAAATATACTGCCTTAGCAAGTACACAGCATGAACCCACTGTACAGAGAAATTGAGGTTTCTAAGAATGAAAGTGAGGTACAGTATTTAAATTTGGACTCAAGCTTGCCCAAGCATCCTGGGGACAAGTCGGGAAGAATGTGATGGGGTTCAAGGCAACGAACCTGAGATTGGCGAGGGTGCTGCTGTCTGGTTGCAATCAGAGGTAGCAGCTAGATAGGAAATTGGCAGTTTGCATGAGTAATTTATTTCTGGAAGTCCATGTGGTGCCAAGTAGGACTTGGATAGGTTTTGATTGTTTGAATACATTTTCAGTATTCTAGATAGGACTGAGCTTTTCTCCACTGCCTCCCTGGAACCAGTATGACCTGACAAAACTGTTTTCAAAATGTTTCCTATTGTCACCCTGCCCTGATTATCATGATCTTGTCCAATGCCTTGATCTTCAATGAACTTTCTTCAGCAAGTATCCTAGTGAAATAGTTTTTTAGAATATAGGCTTAACAAATGTTAAACATTCATTCCTTCTTAAATTAACAGTAATTCCATCTAGATTGTTTCTAAAACTTATGAATTATTGATACTGAATTGCTGTTTCCTTACCAGTTCACCCTTACTAGTTCACCATGTGTGTCAATCTTCTTGACCTTACTCTACACCTAGCCTAGCATTTATTTAATACAGTGGAACCTCGATTAACGAGTGGCTCTATTAACGAGTTTTTCCAGTAACGAGCAAGCCACTCGCAGCAAATTTGTCTCTATTGACGGGCTCGCCTCTATTAACGAGCAAAACCACATGGTGCTTCCTAGCATCTCGCAGGTTCTCGCAAATTCTCGGACGCCTCCGACGCCAGTGTTGTTGTTGTATCGCACACGACAAGCATCCCTCTGGATTTATTTGAGCTTTTCTTTGGGTTTTTAGTGGGTTTGCGACTACAATTTGTAACACACGATATTTCCAAAGAAGCTGCTTGCTAAAGATAGTGTTGTCAAGAGGAAGAAAGACACAATTACTGTGGATTTAAAGAAGGAAATTATAGCAAAGCATGAGTGTGGTGTCTGTGTGATTGATCTCACAAGGGAGTATGGCAGGTCCTCATCAACAATTTACACCATTAGTAAGGGAATGAGGAGGTAAGGGAGGATGCTGCCTCTTCCACTGAGATCAGGGAAGTGTTTGGAATGTTTGAAAAGGTGAACGCATTCTTGGAAAAGCTGCCCTGATAAAGCAGTAACAACCCGGTGTGTGAAAATGTTTAATTAATTTATCACTTTGTGATAACACTTTATGAAAGTGTTATCACTTTCGCAGGTATATGTCGCTTGAACGTGACACACTTTTTTCTCTTGAATGCACCCAAACACCGCGCTCAAGCATCATTTGAGCAAATATTTCTATAAAATCCAATTCTTATCCGATCTACTTGGGGATTGTATACATGTTTGCCATGAAATTTCCGTTTTCTTTAATAACCACATTGCCTATTTGAGAAAACGGCATTGTATTGTATCTTCGGGGTAAGACTATTATATTGTTGACACAACGAGTGTAATCGACGTAGTTTTTTATTTGGTGCTGGTCTAACGCATCCTTGTGTGACATTTGAAATGAAATTTGAGTGAAATTCCCAAGAAGAGAGAGTCCGCCTGACTCGGAGGTGGATTCTTCTTCCACACCATAACCCCTCTTCTCCTTCCCACCTCCCCATCGTCTCCCTCAAGCCAGCAACTACTCTTCATAAGGTAAAGTAAATATTAAAACACTACAACAAAACATTTATATTTACATGTGCAGTATTATATTTACATAACAAAAGTCATACAAGTATGGATGTTTTTAGGAGTGGAACGGATTAAATTTATTTCCTTTATTTTAAATGGGGAAATTTGTTTAAGACAAGTTTTCCAGGTAACGAGCTCGGTGCCAGAACGGATTAAACTCGTTAATAGAGGTTCCACTGTACTGTCATCAGTATTTCATTCAATATGACCAAATTATATATACATATATAAATGCTTTTCACTATCTTACAAATACTGTATACTAACAATTTGCACTGTACATCTTTACATGACAGTTTAAATCCTCACTCTTTCTGTCCTACAACAAATGAATTCTTGAGTGATCATTTATATTCCTTTAATGCTTGATTTTTTCTGTTTATTCCACACCAGTCTCTTATAGTGATACATAAGCACTATCACTCCTTCATGCACCCCTCACCCAAAATGTATAATGCCCTACCATCTGTGTTCATTTTATATATAACATGCTTATCCCTGTATAAAGATGTAACAAACATTGCATTGTTTTACCCAAGGCCTTTGGTGAATATCTTATTGGTACTAATAAGAAAGGCGGAGCACACAAGCTGTACTATCCAGAAGACTACACAGCAAGTGCATGTCGTGAGAGGATGAACAGTGTCAAAGAACGATCCTTCCAAGACCGTTTTAATGTCTTTCAGGTAGGAGTCATTACGTACATGGTTATGTTTCTATTAACTTATTTATAATCACAGTGGGAATACACATGACCACATGCTTTCCAAATGCTTCTGGATCGAGACTAGACAAAACTTTGTGTCCTTCCCCCCCCCCCCCCCAAAAACAAAGTCTTGAAAATCTGAGTACTGTATTCATATTTATATTTTTACCAACCATGGAATTAGCTTTACTCAATGATCTTCCCATTGATCCAAGTATTTCTTCTAATGTTGCATCCATCTACAAAAGCATTTAAGAACTTATTCTGATAAATTTTCTAGAAATACCATTCATACTCTCCCATAATCTATTGTCACATATTTTTTCGCCCTCTCATTTGATGAACATCTAACAGGAGAACCTGACTCTACAGTTTTCAGTCACATATCCAATATTTCCCATGCTCCAACTTCTAAACTTTTTTTTTTTTCTGTTGGGAGTCCCTTCAGCTCCCTGGAGCTATAAGACTGATATACCCTATACAGTATTAGTCTGGGGCAATTAGTCAATGGAGTCCTGCCTACCGGGGACCAGAGCCGGAACCTGGCCCCCCTTTCTAAGAGGCACAGGGAGCAATGACTTAAGGAGACCCCCCCTTGTATTTGGGGGTCTTCTTCGCCATTGACTGGGGTTAGGCACCAAGAAAGGTAAGCATCTCAAAACAAACCCCCACATGGTAGGAAATTGCAAAAACTCAAGACCAAACAGAGAAACCAAACTCCACAAAGAAAAATAAAGGTATTGAGCAAACAAACAATAGTTACTCATTGCCGCCACGCCGCTTATCTGCACAGCCCTCCTCTTCCCGGGAGGGAAAGGGGGAAGCCCTGGACCTACCCACTGGCTACTCACACCTAAGTTCGTGACTGAAGCGCTCTGGGGCGGATGTCAATTCTGGCCACAGATTCTTGCTGGATTTTGGGCCCTTGTGGTGGTTCCTGCTCTTTTTGGCACATTGGCTAGGAGTAACATAGTGTACTGAGGGCTGTATGCACTTAGGGCTGCCTTCCCTAAGTACCCTGTGAGTACTACCCTTGGGTTCTAGGGGTTACCTTCCCTGGGGCTTCCGGGGTTTTACTTCCGTAGAGGTTCCTGCTGCTCAGCAGTTACCCCGCCCTTGGGGCCAGCTGGGGCTTAGTAGCCTTTGTTTGGCCTTGGGTAGGAAATAGTGTTGTTGATGGTTTGGTGCAGGAGGTGCTGCACGGCACCTCTACCAATACGGTAGCCATGTTTCCTGTTCCTCTTGTTGTGGTTGTGCTTTTGCGGGGTTTTTCTTTTCTTTTAGTTTATTGCTCGGAGGAGGTCTGCCTGGTTTGACTAGTAGTCCCCTAAGGTATTTTCGTAGCCCTTCTCTAGGTCCCTGTGCTTGTACACCTCATAGGGGTTCAGTTACAATGGTACCTTCATTTACAATCCTAATCCATTCCCAGAGACGCGTCGTACACCAAAACGAATTTTCCCATAAGAAATAATGTAAATTAAATGAATCCATTCCACACCCCAAAAATATTAACTTAAAAATACATTTTATACCAAATACCAGTCATTTTGGAGTGGAATACAGTATGTATATCTTACCTTTAATGAGGACTGTTGGCGTATGGAAGATGGTGAGGAAGAGAGGTGCTAGTGTTTGGAACGGGGGTGTTCCCTTCCATTATAACAGCAGTGATAACATTTCTGGGGTACTCTCTTTCCTGCGTTTTGCAGGCATACCACAAGGACCTGGTTGTAGCTCACTGCTTGCTTGTCTTACTAAGAATCTGTCTATAGACACTTGTTTTTCCTTATGTTTAACACTTGTCTGTAATGAGACATCACATTGTCTCACTATGAATGATCTCTTGTTTTTCCTCTATCGTCATCCTCACAACTATTTTCTTAGGTTGAACTTTACCACTGACTTTCTTGAAACCCATGGAGTGATGTATAATAAGAACTTTCCTAGGCGGAGCCCTGTCGGCTCCCCAGAGCTATTCAGGCTGATATGGATATATTTCTAGCATCAGTCAAGATGCATGGAGTTCTTGCCTACCGGGGACCATGAGCCAAAACCTGGCCCCCCTCAGAGAGCCACGAGGAGCAATGACCTATAGAAACCCCCGTGTGGTTAGGAGCATTCTATGTCTGCCATCAACCTAGCCTGGCACCCAGAAAGGTAGGCACCCCAACACAAACCCTTTTCCGGTGAAAATATTGCTACCGAATGCCAAACGAGTGGACAGAACTCCCCAAATGAAAAATAGCAAACTAGCATGACGTCATCACGTTGCCGCGCCGCTGTCTGCTCAACCCCCCTCTCCGGGAGGGGGAAGGGGCATCCCTTGACCCTTGTGCCAGCGAACAACCCTTCAGTTCTTAGGCTGGATGTCAAAACACGCAAAAACACCGCCGACCGGAGGGGAGGAGGGGTGCTGGGGATCCTCCGGGTCCCACCCAGAAAAATGGCATTTTATTACATTCAATGCTGGTTTTCTGGGGGCTGGGAGCCCTATTGGCTCCTCGGAGCTAACTCCCCAAAGAGAAGGAAAAAGAGGGACATACCCAGGAGGCAGATGCCACATGCCCTAACTAGAAGCAAAACAAATGGTAACACCAAATGACCCTGTGGACAACCAAGAAGACCCAAACCCTGGAACAGGAAAGAACCCGGGCAACCCAAAACGCAACCACGGCCATAGACTGTGTGGTGCGCAGGCAACTGCATAGAGCCACAACTGGACACAGCACATGATGCACCCCCTGCCTAACCAACCAAGCATCAACAACTCAAGGACCCCTCTGGAAAGTGGTACTAGTGATTTCTTGGTGGTGGACCATCTCAGTGTACAATGATCTACACTCAACAGTGTACTGTGCTCACCTAACTGTACATGGCAGGGTGTATGTTATACTGTGCTCACCTAACTGTACCTGGCAGGGAGTATGCTGTACTGTGCCTACCTAACTATCTTACCTAACTTTTCTGGCGACTCATTCAATGCCAGAAAAAAAGACGGCCGCAAACGAACAAACTTACGACCAGGACCAAAAGAACAGAAACCTCTGGGCCAGATGAGAGCATGAAGCTCCCTGACCCAACCCCCAGAGGCCAAAGCCAACAGGAAAGAGCATTAGAAAAACAAACCTGAACTGAAGGGGTCACTACAAAACCAAGAAGAGAGAAAAGAGAAAAGAGAGTTCTCATGGCTTGCTGACTGCTTTTCTTCTTGGGGCATGGCACAGGTTTTGGAGTTGTGATGGGGCATATGGGGTGACAAGCAGAAGCTCCAGCTTCTGCTTGTCCAGCTCCTGCTACAGTATTGTTCCAACAGGACACCATATTTTGAGGGTCTTTTGTACTAAGGATAAATAAAAAAAAGTCCATAGAAACAAAAGATTAGGTTACTTACAAAATCAAGCCAAATTTGTCATTATATTCATTTTGAAAGACCAAACTTAAAATGCAGCTAATGGTTATAAACAGAAGAGTATTTAATTGCAATATAACTAATGTATACAATATTAAGAATATTTTGGGAAGATCATCAAGTGAAACTACAATCTGATCTATAGAAGGAAAGGAAACTAAGGAAAAGAGACAGCACTTTGAGAAACCTGTGAATTTTATAGCATCAGATATTTAATTTAGAGCTTTACAGTACAGGGTGACCTCGATTATTTAGAATAATTCATACTTCAGGATTTGTGGGGAATCTGAATTATGGGGTTTACCAGTGTATTCTGTGGATTACCATGGTCTCTAAACTTTTTTATTAATTAATGCTATCTTCATCTTCATATTTTGGCATAAAAATTTAATGTTTTATTTTTATTTCTACAGGATATTTTGGAGCATTTTCATCCAGTGTTTCGTCACTTCTTCCTGGAAAATTATCCATCACCCCATGAATGGTACAAACGGCGACTTGCATATACGAAGTCAGTAGCTACAAGCTCAATGGTGGGCTACATACTGGGGTTAGGAGACAGGCATGTAGAGAATATTCTTCTGGATAAGTCTACTGCCGAACTTGTACACATTGACCTGGGAATTGCATTTGAACTTGGCAAAATTTTGCCAACTCCTGAAACTGTTCCCTTCCGTATGACTCAGGTAAGGAATTTCAAAACAGGAGGATCTCATTAGTCTCTGAATATTGCATATACTGTTTTGAAATAAGGTGCTTTGGACCCCCAGGCTTTGTCATCACATCTAGGGTCAAGACTATGCATTTAAATAATGCCTTAACTGTCAGATATGAATAATTAACTTTACATGTGATGCTAGCATTGAGAAAAATTAAGATACTATATAGAGCTCAATCATTATTGTGATATCACAGTTGTCCTTTGTAATACTAGAACCTGTGATACAGGTCCTTAATTACATCTTAATGTGATCATAAAATTAACACCGTGCCAAGAACCCATCCCCCATAATTAGTCATGTGATGTTATGTGCAAGGACTCAATATATGAACTATCGTTTCAATACTGTTGTCAACAGACATGTAGGCTGATTAAAATTTGTGTAATAAAATTTCAAATTGCTATTTGCAAGATCTGGACCTATGTTGGTGGTCTAATTGAGCATATTTACTAAATAAATGAGATTTTATAATTTTTCATTCATTAGGATATAATAGATGGACTTGGTGTGATGGGAGTAGAAGGGCCCCTCCGCCAGTGTTGCGAGGCTACTTTGGCCATCTTAAGGAGTTCAGGGGAAGTGCTCGTGACAGTTGTGGAGGTCTTAAGACATGATCCCCTACACCAGTGGACCCTTTCTCCTCAGCAAGTGGCTCATCTTCAGGCCAGTGGAGATGATGATGATCAGGCAATTGGTAAGTAAATTTTAGCTGTTGCTGAAAATTTACTATTAATTTTCTAATATCACAGTCAGAAAGAACCTGGTTCATTGGAAAATGCTTGTAAATGGAGGAAATTATTTATTATAAATACATATGCATATGCATAGGGGATGGGAATTAGCCTCGGCTACCATCCTCTTTTGTCCGGTTGAGTGATTAAGGGATCCTGTACGTCAGATGCATTGCTTCTGGCAGTATGGGTTTGAGTCACTTCTGGGGTGTGAGTTTTCAGTTGCATATATGCCTGGAGACCGTTCAGGCTTGTTCGCATACATACATATACTGTACACACGGTGGTGCGCCATTCAACCTGTTGGCGTACGGAAGGTGGGGAGGAAGAAGCGGTGTTGGTGTATGGGGAGGGTGAGGAGGAGGGGGGAGGTGAGTATGTTTAGAAGGACTGTCCCCTGCTCGCCTTAAATGCTTTCATATCTGCATCACTGGTTCCAGATTTTCCTTTCACACATTTCACTGTCTTATGTGGCAGCCAGTTAATCAGTCAAAATATGTCAGTCAAGCATTCACAGTTGTGGTAGCAACCGGTTAGGCATTTACAGTCAGTCACACATTCACAGTCAATCAGGCTTTCACAGTCGCAACCAGTCGGTAAACAATAATAGATTAATGTCAGGCGCTCAGGGAGTCTGCCTCCCGATCCATCAGCTGGGTGCAAGGAAGCCCACCAATTAATACTGTCCATATACCAATCGTATTGGCGTATGCCTTTCCATTGGAGACTTTCAGTGCCGTGGAGAGAGGGGGACCTGCTGCCTGGGTAACAACTTCTCCCCCGAATCAACCTACCCTGGCTTTGCGCCCTGGTGAGGCCACTCCAGACCAGGCTGACATCAATGCCCAACTCCATAGTCTCCTGAGACTGATGGATGCCTACTATGGCTGGGAGGGGGTACAGCTGGGAGGGGTACAGCCAGTGTGGGGAATGAGGGAATGGAAGAAGCGAGGAGGGTGCAGGATGGGGGGTCTATGGGAAGGGACCAGGAGGGACCAGCTCCTGTATTAGTCCTAGTCGAAAGCTCGCCCACTCACGCCACCGCCTGCCTGCCCACTGCTACCCACCCTCCCACCCAATCTGCTACTCATATCTGCCCACCCACTGTCTCCTGACTGCCCTGCTACATCCCTGCCCTTCCCCTACCACCACCCCCATCCAGTTCCTCCACCATCAATCCATCCATCCTCACACCATCCATCCATCCAGTTCTCCCATCATTCATCCATCCAGTTCTCCCACCATTCATTCAGTCCCCTCACCATCCATTCATCCAGTTCCTTCACCATTCATCCATCCAGTCCACCCCCACCTCCCCCCCCCCCCAACCATCCATCTTTTTGTCCTCCCAAATACAGTATAACATTCAAGCGCAATCATCACTAGGCAGGAAACACTGGTTAACTGGTTTCCAGTGAAAACACTGGAAACACTGGTAAACTTAAACAAATGCACCTTGCACGTGCCACCAGGAGCCAAACGCTCGGTCAACCCATACGGGTATCAACAAACTCGCAAAGCTAGGCAAAGCTCGTAAACCAATTCTAACTTTACGAAGAAATTGAGCTTGTAACCCAAAAAAGCTGTTTAAAAAAATTTAGTAAAGAGGGACATTTGGCAACTGAGGTTGCACTGTGTGTGTGTGTGTGTGTGTGTGTGTGTGTGTGTGTGTGTGTGTGTGTGTAATTACCTAAGTGTAGTTACAGGATGAGAGCTACGCTCGTGGTGTCCCGTCTTCCCAGCACTCTTTGTCATATAACGCTTTGAAACTACTGACGGTCTTGGTGGCCTCCACCACCTTCTCACCTAACTTGTTCCAACCGTCTACCACTCTGTTTGCGAAAGTGAATTTTCATATATTTCTTCGGCATCTGTGTTTAGCTAGTTTATATCTATGACCTCTTGTTCTTAAAGTTCCAGGTCTCAGGAAATCTTCCCTATCGATTTTATCAATTCCTGTTACTATTTTGTATGTAGTGATCATATCACCTCTTTTTCTTCTGTCTTCTAGTTTTGGCATATTTAATGCCTCTAACCTCTCCTCGTAGCTCTTGCCCTTCAGTTCTGGGAGCCACTTAGTAGCATGTCTTTGCACCTTTTCCAGTTTGTTGATGTGCTTCTTAAGATATGGGCACCACACAACTGCTGCATATTCTAGCTTTGGCCTAACAAAAGTCGTGAACAATTTCTTTAGTATATTGCCATCCATGTATTTAAAAGCAATTCTGAAGTTAGAAAGTGTGGCATAGGCTCCTCGCACAATATTCTTTATGTGGTCCTCAGGTGATAGTTTTCTATCTAGAACCACCCCTAGATCTCTTTCTTTATCAGAATTCTTTAAAGATTTCTCACATAATATATAGGCTGTGTGGGGTCTATGTTCTCCTATTCCACATTCCATAACATGGCATTTATTAACATTAAATTCCATTTGCCAAGTGGCGCTCCATGTACTTATTTTGTCCAGGTCTTCTTGAAGGGCATGACAATCATCTAAGTTTCTTATCCTTCCTATTATCTTAGCATCATCAGCAAACATGTTCATATAATTCTGTATACCAACTGGTAGATCATTTATGTAGACAATAAACATCACTGGTGCAAGAACTGAACCCTGTGGTACTCCACTTGTGACATTTCTCCAGTCCGATACATTGCCTCTGATCACAGCCCTCATTTTTCTATCAGTCAGAAAACTTTTCATCCATGTTAGAAGCGTGCCTGTCACTCCTCCAATATTTTCCAGTTTCCAGAACAACCTCTTATGTGGAACTCTGTCGAAAGCTTTTTTTTTAGGTCCAGATAGATGCAGTCAACCCAACCATCTCTTTCCTGTAATATCTCTGTTGCTCGATCATAGAAACTGAGTAAATTCGATACACAGGATCTTCCAGATCGAAAACCATACTGTCTGTCTGATATTATATCATTTCTCTCCAGGTGTTCTACTAATTTAGTTTTAATTATTTTTTCCAATATTTTGACTATTACACTTGTCAATGATACCGATCTATAATTAAGGGGGTCTTCCCTGCTTCCACTTTTGTAGATTGGAACTATGTTAGCCTTTTTCCACACATCAGCTACAACTCCTGTATACAGGGATGCCTGAAAAATCAGTTGAAGAGGAATGCTGAGCTCAGGTGCACATTCTCTCAGAACCCATGGTGAAACTCCATCTGGACCAACTGCTTTGTTCTTATTTAGCTCTTTGAGCATTTTTTCCACTTCGTCTCTAGACACCTCTATGTGCTCTATGTTGTTCTCTGGAATTCTTATTGTATCTGGTTCCCTGAAGATTTCAGTTTGTACAAACACACTTTGGAACTTTTCGTTTAATGTTTTACACATTTCCTTTTCATTTTCCGTGAATCTATTTCCCATTTTCAACCTCTGAATATTATCCTTTACCTGCAATTTGTTGTTTGTGAATTTATAGAATAGACCTGGTTCTGTTTTACATTTGTCTGCAATCTCTTTTTCAAAATTTCTTTCTGCCTCTCTCCTCACTGCCATGTAGTTGTTTCTCACATCTTTGTATCGCTGGTATGTTTGGGGGTTCAGCCTCTTCCTGTATTGATTCCATTTTTGTGTCTTTTGGTCTCTGGCCCTCTCGCACTTTCTGTTGAACCAATCCTGTTTCCTAGTTCTGCTTCTCTGTTTTGGTATAAATTTTTTTGTGCCTTTATCATATATTTCACAAAACCTGACATACATCTCATTCACTTCCTTGCCTAGCAACAAGTCTGTCCAATTATACTCACTAAAAAATTTTCTAAGGTTGCCATAATGTCCTCTCCTAAAGTCAGGTTTTTCATTTGCATCGACCGTCATATTTTCTTCCAGATTATAACGCATTGCATACTTTATTCCCAAAAAGACATGGTCACTTTTACCCAAGGGAGGAAGGTACTGAATGTCAAATATTTCTTCCTCCATCCTGGTAAATATCAAATCTAGCATGGAGGGGACGTCCCCTTCCCTCATCCTCGTAGCTTGTTTAACATGTTGATACAAGAATGTTTCCAGGATGAGGTCTACAAATTTACAGGTCCAGAAATCTTCTGTTTTAGCTTCACATGCTTCCCAGTCTATGGATTTCAAGTTGAAGTCACCGACTATCAACAGTCGTGAACTATCGTTATCCACTCTCGCTATGATCTCTCATTTTTGTTATAAGACCTCGTTTGCTATCTAGCTCCTCCTTTGACCATGTGCTGCTTAGCGGTGGACTATATGCATTTATGATCCTTAGTTTATCATACTCATGGCAGATCTCTAGTGCTATTATGTCAACTTCTTGTGGATTGGCAGTCACTATTTCGTTCACCTTTAGGTGTTCTTTCACCAGCACAGTAACGCCACCGCCTTTCCCGATTTTTCTGTCCCGTCTCCAAATTGAGTAGCCCCTTGGGAATATGACCTCATTTAAAAGGTGTGTGTGTGTGTGTGTGTGTGTGTGTGTGTGTGTGTGTGTATTCACCTAGTTATGTTTGCGGGGGTTGAGCTTTGCTCTTTCGGCCCGCCTCTCACAGTCAATCAGCTGTGTCAATCAGTCAATCACAATCAATCAGATCCACAGTCGGGGATCGAACCAGGACCCTAGGTTTACTAGTCCCAAGCGCTGTCCACTCAGCCACAGGACCCATTATGGGTCTGTGTGTGCATATGATTAAATAAATTTCAAATTCAGAAGTGTTTGGTGGTAAATGGTAGCAACAAAGTGGATCTCATTGAGTAATTATCATATCTTATGTTTAGGTTGTGTGTCCTCTGCATCAATGGCTGACCGTGTAGTGCTGAGAGTACAGCAGAAGCTGGCAGGGGTAGAGGATGGATATCCTCGCACTGTAGCTGAACAAGTTACTGTACTCCTACAACAGGCAACTGACAACTCTAATCTCTCAAGGCTTTTTCCAGGATGGCAGCCGTACATATAAACTTTACAGGGCAGTCTGGATAGTTGACCATTTGTTTTTATATGGACAAATTTTAAAAATTTCAGTGAAAGCTAATTTATATTATTTTAAGGCTTAATTCATCATTGGAGCATATTTATCAATATGAACATTAATATTTTATGTAGTCATTATTTTTTGGTAAGTTTACCAGTTATATTAATTAATACTAAGCATTTGTATATAATAATTTTCAAATTATTAAAATCTCATGTTTGATAATACCTGTATCTATCCTTATTTATATAACATTTCTATCCATTGTAGCTGCTGAAGTTGTCAGAAGTCCTCTTAAAACAGCAATGCACATCTTAGATATTATACTAGGACATTCTTATACATAATCTGGAAGTGGGCTCAATGGATAAGCAATTTTAAAAAAGAATGCACTAAGCCGTGAAGACTATTTAGCAATACTGTATCTATGGAACCCAAGTAAAAAATTCCTAGAGATCACTGAAGATTATAAGGAGCAAAGAGAGAGAAGACGAGCAATGCTAGAAATCTTGGTGAATCTTACACCTCTGTCAATGGACAAGTCACTCAGACACGAACAAATAATAGTCCCTCTATATACCCATATATAGAGGGTATATATATATATATATATATATATATATATATATATATATATATATATATGTCGTACCTAGTAGCCAGAACTCACTTCTCAGCCTACTATGCAAGGCCCGATTTGCCTAATAAGCCAAGTTTTCATGAATTAATTGTTTTTCGACTACCTAACCTACCTAACCTAACCTAACCTAACTTTTTATGCTACCTAACCAAACCTAACCTATAAAGATAGGTTAGGTTAGGTTAGGTAGGGTTGGTTAGGTTCGGTCATATATCTACGTTAATTTTAACTCCAATAAAAAAAAAGTGACCTCATACATAATGAAATGGGTAGCTTATCATTTCATAAGAAAAAAATTAGAAAAAATATATTAATTCAGGAAAACTTGGCTTATTAGGCAAATCGGGCCTTGAATAGTAGGCCAAAAAGTGAGTTCTGGCTACTAGGTACGACATATATATATATATATATATAATGTCGTACCTAGTAGCCAGAACTCATTTCTCAGCCTACTATGCAAGGCCCGATTTGCCTAATAAGCCAAGTTTTCATGAATTAATGTTTTTTCGTCTACCTAACCTACCTAACCTAACCTAACCTAGCTTTTTTTGGCTACCTAACCTAACCTTACCTATATATATAGGTTAGGTTAGGTTAGGTAGGGTTGGTTAGGTTCGGTCATATATCTACGTTAATTTTAACTCCAATAAAAAAAAATTGACCTCATACATAGTGAAAAGGGTAGCTTTGTCATTTCATAAGAAAAAAATTATAGTAAATATATTAATTCTGGAAAACTTGGCTTATTAGGCAAATCGGGCCTTGAATAGTAGGCTGAAAAGTGAGTTCTGGCTACTAGGTACGACATATATATATATATATATACACACACACACCCATACCCTCCTATATTATATATACCCTTCTATGTGTATATATAATACCTAGTGGCCAGAACACACTTCTCGGCCTACTATGCAAGGCCCGATTTGCTTAATATGCAGTGATTTTCTTTATTTTCAGAAAGTTGTTTCCAATTGGTTTATTTTAATTATTATTATTGTTAAGACCAAATTCTTGACCTATGTTAGTTTAGGTTAGGTTAAGGTAAGATAGGTTGTGTCATATCTAAGTTAGTTTTAACTCAAATTAAAAAATTAACTCATACATAATGAAATGGATAACTATCATTTCATAAGAAAAAAATTTAAATATATATAAATTCAGAAAACTTAGCTTAATAGGCAAATCAGGCCTTGCATAGTAGGCCGAGTACTGCATCCTGGCTACTAGGTACATACATACTGGTACATTAATATATACAAAGGAGATATATATATATATATATATATATATATATATATATATATATATTGTGACGATAATCTCCTTCAAGAGATTGAGCCTGCTCTTCCCTCCATAATTACGTCTTCACAATTATATAAAAAGACTATGGAAGAAATGTCCAACAACGACAACAACACCAGCAAGGCTTGCCAGGGTGAGCAGAAACGTATGCAGCCAGCCACCTGTTCGAACTCCAACCACCAAACTACCCGTTGATCGCTACGGCTCCGCTGATTGGTCGCCGGTCTGGCTGCACCTGCCTCGCCCCCCCCAATACTACCTGATGTCTGGGGTCGCCCCAACATCAGTCCGCAGAATGTTCAGTGCTTTCGTAGCCAGCACACCTCCCAGCTAGACTCTAGAGTGTACTGAGAGAGGTGGTGGCTTTAAGCCAATATTCCAGCACCTCCCATTTACTGTTGTATTGCACTTCTTATTATTTTGCCTTAACGTAACTTTTCATTTTGTCATTTAAGTATTCTTATTATTTTGATTGATTTTATTATAAGAATTTGTTTGTGCATTATTTTCATGTTTTGATTTATTTAACGTAATTAAAATTTCATTGTTAAAGTTTTACTTGTGTTTTGTGTGTCTTCTCCTTACCTTACCGCAGACGAAGTTCCAGTTTTTCTATTTTTTTTATAACTATGTGACGAGGCCATACCCCTAGCCTTAAACAGCCGAACACCAACGCGTTACCGTCACAAGTTATATGGGGGCCTGTCCTAGGAGCTTCACTCAGGTACTGGTGCCAAGTGGTAATTTATGGTAAGCGTATTTAACTTTGTTAACGTAGCTTTACTATTTTTCATTCAATTTCATTTGTTATAAGGTGCGGTGTATTGTGCATTACGAGAGTAACATATAGTGAAGGTGAGACAACTTTGGATTACGTGGTGACTGTAGGCCGCAGTCATACTCTTAATTGGTCATCTCTCCCTCCTTGTTATTACTCGTATTTACCATCTATGTCCCTTGAATATTTCTCATTCTGACAGATCATCATATTGGTACCCTGGTACTGTGGTCTGCCCGGGTCAAGAGTACCCAATCTTCTGCAATCTGACTGTAGGAGGACAAAGAGGGCCATAGTTCCTCTAGCTCGAACTTTAGTTGCTGAATTGGGACCTCAGCAGCAGTTCTCGTCACAAGTTGACACCTCGCACCCCTACACGTCAGTCAGAGATGATGATACATACAACGGTAGGGAATTAGCTTATTTTTTCAGAGCACAAAAGTTCGCTAATTCTGTAAGTATCATATTAAATTCAGTAGGAAAAACTTGCTTTATGTCCTATAGAGACTTGGCAAGGTATGCCTACATCCTTGGACTACCAATTTTACTTTTGAAGCATTTAACTGTTTCATTTGTTTTCGAAACTTTGTTTCATTTGTTAGTAGGATTTTCTTGCCCTATTCTCTTACATGAGTACCGGGTACAAGATTTCCTGCGCCCTTGATTTCATTTAATCATTAATATCTTTCACTTAACGTTAATTGTTAAAGATCACACAGGATAGGTACCAGTTGCCACGTTGTCCTGTTTCTGACATTTCATTATTGAACATTCGTGTACCTTTATTTGCTAATTTCACCATGTTTCGTCTCCAAACTTTCCGTGCAAATCCAGCAGGTGAAATAGGGACTTTGAGTCGTGCCAAGAGGACTGAACTACAAACTCTTGCACATGAGTATCAACTAGAAGTTCCCTACCAAGCCAACAAAAATGACCTACACAACCTGTTGCTGGATTACTATTTAGAGCAAGGTAAGATAGACTCTGAAACTCATGAAACTTACTATATTGCAGATAAAACTGATTTGGCCACGCTGAAACTCAAATAGAGCTGGCCAAGATTGAACGTGAGCAGCAAAGGGAAGCAGCTGCTTTGAGGAGGGAAGAACAAGAACGAGAAATCACCCTCAGAGAACGTGAAGCTGCTTTGAGGAGAGAAGAACACGAACGCGAGGTCGCATTACTCCGTGAACGTGAACGAGTACAGCTTGAAACACTCCAGGAGCGGGAACGCTTACAGCTTGAAACCAAACAACGCGAGTGGAAATACAACGCGAACATGACAAGCAACAAGCGACTCTGGCTCTAGAGTGTCGTCAACGTGAAATCGCCTTGGAAACTTCCCACTTCACTCAACGCCAACAAGCTACTGCCAATCTTCCCGTCAGTTTTAATATATCACATGCAAGTAAGTTAATGCCATCCTTTGTAGAAGCAGAAGTTGATGTTTTTTTCACCACCTTTGAAACCCTTGCTAATCAACTCAGTTGGCCTGTCGACCAATGGGCCACACTTCTCAGAGTCCATCTTACAGGTAGAGCTGCAGTCACACTCAGTACTTTGGCGTCTGAGAATGACTACTACACTCTGAAACAAGCAGTGTTGGACGCCTACCTACTTTCCACCGAAAGTTATAGAAGGAAATTCCGTGACCACCTGAAGGCAAGTACCACTACCTTCCTCGAGTTTGCTAACACGAAACGGAGGTATTTCATGAAATGGCTGGAAGCAGCACATGTCTCTACTTTTACAGAACTCGTCAACCTGATGCTTGTTGAAGAATTCTTGAGACGTGTGCCGCCTCCTGTCCGCCTCTACTTAGGCAGATAAAGAAGAAACCGACTACCTGAAGTGTGCTAAGTCGGCTGACACTTACAGCCTCATCCACCGGCTGACACCTGAACCATCCTCCAGTAAGAAGTCGTGGTACAGTTACGAAAAGGTGAGCCCGATCAAGCTGGTTCAAACTGTACTGCAAGTATTGTAGACTCTATGGACATACCATAGACAAGTGTGGTAAGTCTCAATACAAGGGAACCACTGACCAACAACGACCCAAACCAACTCCTCCTAAGTCCGGTAAGCCTGTGATGAATGTTGGGTTGATGTTAATGATCTTTCTCTTTTCAGTAACCACCTGTATACTGGAACTGTCTCTGCCAACGGTTCAAATCCGGAGGGACGTTTCAATTGAAGATCTTGAGGGAACAGCGGCTCTACAATCGATCATCTTGAAGTCGGCTGTGCCCAACATAGTCTACACCGGGGAAACAGTCTTCATCACTGACCTCACTGCTACCACTCCATACCCTCTCGCCAGAGTCCACCTGGATTGTCCCTACGTGAACGGGGAAGTCCAAGTCGCCGTCAGGGAAAAGCCTTTTCCCATGCCTGGAGTGCAACTTCTCC